GTTTTTTTTTTCGCATTTTTATGATTGAAGGTTGGCTATGGATGATAAATATAACATTCATTGTAGCTAAATATGAAAAATAATTACATCATACATACATTTATGTAGGTAATATGAATGTTTTGATAAGGTGTGTGATGTTAAAGAAAGTAGAAGAAGATTAAAATAATTAATTAATAATCAGGCAAAGGCAAGAGACACAAATTTTTTTTCTTTTTCTTTTCATGAAATTTATTTAGTTTTTTATTTGAAATTTTCTTTTAAATTTGTAATGGTTTTCCTTTTTTTCTTTGAGTGGGTTTTCTCTCTTTAAGAATTTGCACTAGATAATGGTTTTAATTTTCTAATATTTAGGTAATTGATATTTCATTCACTTGTTTTTCATCATTGAATAATGCGACTAATTAGTTACCTCTTCATTTAACATATGTTTCTTTTAATATATTTTACTAGAGTTGAATTAATGATTCATTAAATGTGTAAACATAACGTTTAATGTTTTTTTTCTTTTTATTCTTCGTCTTCTACTACATGGGGATTTTCTTCAATCAATGTGTTTTTTTTTTCTTTTAATTTTTTTATTTCATCTTGTGTGAATATCACAGAACATTTAAAACCTATACACTTTTCATGTCCTCAGTTATTGGAACCTTTACATGCATCCTTTACCTGTCAATTATTTTTTCCATTATTTTTTACTTCAATCAGTTATGTATGTGAGAAAAGATAAACGAAATTTCATTCAATGACAAGTCTCTAGAATTCCATGAAAAGTTATTATTTTCCGTAATTTATCGCCATTTTTCAAATGCTCTGCTTAAATTATAATCAGAGCTTTTATGCGTTTTAAAGCTCTCACTACATGTTGCGATAAAATTTATCATAAAATGTTTAAATGTTGAAGAGGGAAATAATCTTACATAGTTTTCATTTATTTAAAGCAATGCCCTTTGGAGATTATTTGTGTCTTGACTGAAAGCTACGACAAGCTTTAATTATGTGTCAAGTTCAACAGGCATAAGTTTCTTTCAAGAATCCCTCTCAAAATTCAACTACTTATCAACTTTACGCGTGGGGTTTGCTCAATCTGAATGAAAGTTTAACATGAATTGGTTTTCACTTCCTTTTCTCTAATTTTTTTTAAAAGAACAAGCATTTCTCAAGAACGATTAAAATGTAATGTGTATGTGTGAAGAAGAGATAGAAAGATAGAGAGAAAGGGTTAATATTTAATTATCAATAATTCGTCTTTCAAAGTTTCTGCAAGAGGGAAAGCAAGAAACTAACTTTTCGTTTATCTAATAATTCATATCAATAATTAAAAAAATCTTTTAAAAAGTTGAATTTGTGGCTTTTTTTCTAAGAAATTTTGATGATAAAATTTGTTCATGTACAGGAAATTATTTTAGAAATTTAAAGAATTGTTAAAAATTTCACACTTTAAAAAGTTTCATGAAAAAAGAAAAATGTGAAGAAAAGCACTCGAGTTTTGAAAATCTGTTAATTTCATCAATGATTCATTATGACATATTTAAATCTGCGCTAAATTGATTGAAAGTGGAAATTTGATTCTATAAAAAACTACTAAATATTTTTTTTTTACTTTTTTCTTTCAAAATGGATTTAAAGTTATAGAAAGTGAGGACTTTCATTTCACCAAGAGTGAGCTAAGGTACATATACATAATTAATAAAGTTCTTTTTAAAATGTTTCATTCGAAATTTTCTTCTGAAGAAAAGCTTTTCGTTTTTTTTTCATCATTTTATTTTTAATTTATTTTCAATCTTTAAAAAGTGCAGAAGACAAATTTTTATTCGCGAGTTCGATCAAATCTGGACTGAAAGATTTGACGCAAACGTCATTATTCTTGAAGGCATTTTCTTATTTTTGTAAGTATTATTATTACAAACTTCATAGTTTTCTTTAATTTTTTGATTGATGGCGTATTTAATGACTTTAACTTTTGAAACAAATCAAATTGATTGGTCACAGATTTTCTTTTGATGGCTTCAAGCAGTGTTTATTTTTCATGGTAAGAGTTAAAATTTTTAGAGTCTCAACTGATTGGAAAATGTAATAAACTGATCTACTTTAATAAATTCAACAAAATTCTTTTAATAAGATACTTTTTTATTTGAAACTATTAGAATTTAAATATTCTTTCTCTAAGAATTTTCTAAAGCTTTCTTCTATTTTATCCTGCTTAAATTTACATGTAAACACACCAAACTGTGAGATTTAATTAATAAGTTGAGTTTCGGTGTGAGAAAAACAGTGTTAATTATTTCATTCGGAGTGACACTTTTCAACTTTCAAGCGCCTTTAATTTTATTTCTCTTCTTAAAACCTGAATGTTGGTGGCAAAATCTGTGATGGATTATCCGTGTTGGAGGATATAAAATGGAATAATGCAAATATTATATATTTCTTAACAGGATAAATGTGAATTCTCCTAGTATTTGATGAAGTTTCTTATCTGTCGAATCGTCTTAAAGTTCATTAGTCAACAATCATGATTCTTTCATCTTTTCACAATTTGATTAATTTTCATTTTGTAATCGTAATTTATCTACATTTTCATTTTTGATGTCTTAGAAGTTTAACTAAAGTTCATCATCATAATTTACTTCGTTTATTTATTGTTTACATTGTTAAATGATTAACGCTCAAATGGTTTCAATTCTTTTTTATTATTATTAAAATTGCGTGTAAAGTATTGACGGACTTTTGTTGTTTATTTTAATTTTTCTTCTTTAATTTGAAATTTATTTGAGTTTTCTAGTCTAGCACTGAATTTCAATTTTCTTTAATCGTGTATGGATAATTACGCGTGGAAATTCTGAAGCCTTAAATTTTCTTTCGTTTATGATGATTTTTTTAAAAATTTTTTGATGGTGAAGAAGAAATTGAATTTTCCTAATTATAGCAATATTTAAATGTATGTATAAAGAGAGTTTAATGAAAAATTGACTATTCCCATATCTCTGCATTATTGTGCATAAAACGGAAGTTATGATCTAGAGACAACATAAATTCAAAGATGTTGAAAATTGGTGAATGTTAAGATAATTTTAAATCGATGAAAATATTGCTTTTGAATTTGAGTAAAAATAGGATTTGTTTCCATTAATACTTTCTTCATTTCCATATTGTAGGCTGATAGTTTCCGATTATTTCTAAAAAATTTTTTGTTACTCTTTTAAAGCCTTAAACGCGACATTATTTACTCTCAAGAAAACGGAAAGTTGACAATTTCAACTTTTGGAAGCTTTAATTGTGCTTCTTATCTGAGATTTTTCTTTCATAACATTGTCATTAGTGAAGTAAAATTCATAAATGAGAAATATCTCTTTACATGTTTTTATTTAGTACCCAAATAAGTAGCCAAATGTGAACTTATGCTAATCTTTATGACATTCCCATTCTATTTTATCATTCATAGGCTGCATCAGAACACCATCCTTTTATTGTTTACTTATTAAAATATTTTCTTTTGATTTAATGATCTTAATTTACAAGATTAATCTTATCGTCTTTTTCATAACCATAAACAGAATAAAGTTTGTTGTCCATCAAGAAAACCAGGAAGAATACTATGAAAACATAGATCATACTTACAAAAACATATATTGATCTATTTTTTTTTTCTTCGTCCAAAACTTCAAATTAATCTACTCGTATGCTAATGAAAGAGTGCTTTGAAACTAGATTGATTAGATACTTTCAATTAAAAATGAAATGGCTTCGAAGAGTTTCAAATAGTTTTAACATTTGCATAACTGTTTTTCATTTTTCTTCAATAAGATCACTTTTCCATATATTTTTATTTTCAATAACTAGAATTTAACTAGCTTTTCTCACTATAAATTTGAATATAACATTTTATATTTCAATAACCTTTTTTCTTTAATCATCGCGTAAAGTGTGAATCTATAATGAGTTTTGAAAGAGTTAAAACAATGTATTGTGAAATTTATTTAGCTTAATTATCGACCCTTTCTAAGAGGGATGAACGATAGGACAAGTTTGACCCTTTTATTCGTAAAATGAGCTGAGAAAATTGTTTTTCTTATAAAATTCAACCTTCAATAACGTGGTGTATTTGTGACGGCTTACTAAATGTTCAAGGAACAAGTTCATAAAAATCATGTTCTTCCTTGCCATATTACTCGATTAATTAATAAAAACAGTTGGATGATTCCATTAAATTCTATTGCAACACCCCAGCCGCGGCTGCCGTAGTGGCATTTGTGACTTTCGTTTGGCATGCCCGTTTCGTCTCTTCCTCGTTTATTCTCTGCTCTATCAAAAAATGAGCCGTATTTATGGCTTGCGGTGCTCCGCTTATTGTAACAATTCGATTTCTTGTTCCAGGCGCAAATGTCCCTTTCTTTGAGATCTGAATATTGGCACCCGAAATGTGTTGGATTTCAATGAGACTCCGACCACCAGGACCTATGCGTTTCATTTAAGGTTTTTTTTTGTTTGTTTGTTTGTTATTGGAATACGATTGTTTACAGCGTGATTGATTGATCGATTTTCATTTAAGTTTTGCGAGAGTGTGTTGAATGTGTGACGAGGGTTGATAAGGTTGATAAGGCGGAGAATAAAAATAGATGAAAAAAGAAACAGAGAAAAATAGAAAGAAATCTTGGTTTGTCTTTTAATTGCTCTTAAAACAATTTCTTCTCGTTTTTTTTCTTAATTATGTATTTTAAAATGTATGGTTTTCAAGGAAAAACTATTTTTCTTAAAGGATGTAATATTTTCTTTCTCTTTCTTTACATAACTCAAAAAGTTTGTTCAGGAAAATTCAACATCCTTGTGTTTAATAAAGATCTCAATTTCAATCAACTTAAAATCATTACAAAAACAGAAATAAAAATAAATTGAATATTTAATAAATGACTAAAATGTGCGTCATGAAATAATAAAATTAAAAGAAAATCCCGAAAAATTTATGAGCTTAAAATTTAATTTTAAATATTTGGAAAAGAATGAAATGTGTGGATATTATTATCATTAAAATCAACAACAGTTTTATAATAATTAAATCTTCACAGCTTTGAAAAATTTATGTAAGGATGCTTAATGAAAGAGTAAGCTACGAGCATTTTGAAATCAAAATGAAGATCTTTACAATTGACTTTTATTATTAAAGCAGTGATACATACACAGATATTTATGTTAACATAACTTCATTTTAATCTACTCACTGAAAAGTTAAACATGCTCAAGCTATAGTGACGTCAAATCACATAAGAATAATTTATATTGAAAAAGTGAACAATTAATTTTGCCTGATAACAAAACCCACACATTTATCTTTTCTACTTTGAAAATTATCTTCATTTAGATCCATGTTTAAATATTTTATTTAATCAACGAATGAAATGAGAAATTCAACAAAAAAAATCAAGTCATAACTTTTGAAATGGTTGATTGTTCTGTTCAAATGTTAATTTTCTCCAAAATTTATTTTTACATCTACTTGAACTTGTCTTCATAATGAAGAAGAGGTTAAAATTAACAAAAAAAAGATTAGAACAAAACATAATGTTTATGCATGATGAAAAATATTCATAGATATATGTTTATAAAAAAATAATGTGAATAAAATTAAACTCGCTTTTATGCTCATGGTGAAGAGGAATAAAAATTAAGGTAATCAAAATCATAAAAAACAACAGCTAATTAGGCAAATTTATGTACGGTGTTGATCCTCGATAGAATTCATTTGAACGCATTGCAGAAATGGATTGTAGGTAGACTGCAGGTAGGGATTACCTGTAAACAACAAAAAAATGGAAGAGGTTTTCGCAACGTCAAAAAGAAACAGAAATTATAATAATTAAGAATGTTACTAACTAAAAAAAAAGTTAAATAAAAAACCAAGTTATGGAGCGGATACTTTTACAGTTTCGAACAATCCAATTAAATGTTTGAATCAGAAGGATCAATTTTTTAGAACTACGAAATAATCCCTACCCAAATAATTTAGAAAGCAGTGTGGTTAATTAAATAAAAAAGGCAATAAATGCAAGGTAACAACAGTTAATATTTAATGAAAAAATGGTTCTCAATCCAGGAGAAATTTATTTATTTAACACTCACCCAAAATAGCGCCAACAATGACTTCTGGAATTTCAACATTCTTCGCATCTTTACTTCCAATTTCACCCGGTGTTGGACTCTTACTTAATGCACCCAACGATTGTGCAGCATTTAAAGCTTGAGCTGTAGCTGCATTTGAAAGTCCAAAGTTGTTGTTATTTAACGAGATTGGTGCTGTAGCTTGGGCGTTACGAAATGGATCGAATGAAGCTTCAAAACGTTCTAGTGAATTCCTTTGATGTTGTTGGTTCTGTGAGTTGATAAATGACTCTAAATTTCCTCCAATAGCTCCGAAAATATTTCCAACTGTCTGCTGTGACGGTTGTTGCTCCAAGGCGCTGACATTCAAATAGCTGAGAGGGTTTGTTGTCGCTTGTTGATGTGTTCCATTTGAAAGGCCAACACCAACTCCGAGCACACCATATTTTGCCAGAATACCTAAAGCTGCACATACTTCCGAATTTGCTGAATCCGAATAGCCTAAACTTCGCATGGCGTGCTACAAATGACAAATAATTAATGATGGTAAAAAAAAGAAAAAAACAATTCTTTCAACCCACTTTGATGCTTTCTAACAATTGTGTTGTAACAGTTGGATTAACGCTTGGATTAGGTGATCCTAAATTTAATGACAAATTTAATGCCGAACCATTAACCAAGAGACCCGCTGCTGCTGCATTTCCAACATTGGCTGGACTTAGTGCTGAATTGAGTGATGCTGTGCTTGAACTGAAGTTAGGATTTTGTGGATTTGCATATGGTGAGCCTGTAGGGTTAAAGTTAGCAACAGGTCCGTTCACATCTGCATATGACACATTCAGGCAAGTTCCTGACGAAGGATCCTCCATAATCTTCGCCAAAATCATACGGCAAGCTTTTTTATTATTCTCCTTCTCACCGATTATTGTTATGCAACGCTCTTGGAGCGTTAAATCTTTTGGTTTCTGTGAAATTTGTACATACGATCCACTCTCTTCTTTAATCTGCTTTATATAGGCACCAGCCTTCCCAATTATCATTCCAGCTGTGGAATTTGGTACTAGAATTTTAACTTGCTTATCACGTTCTTGCTGCTGTTTTGCGTCGGCTTCATTTAATGGCTTCGTCAAGTCGGGCTTTTCACGTATCTTATCCATAATAAAATCTAACACAGTCAATATACCGTCCACATTGCCGCTTATCAAGCATACACGTTCAGTCGTTCCTGCGGAAGTGAATCAGGAAATTAGATTTGATGGAACAGAAGAAAAAAGCAGTTTTATCGATTAGCATTTAAAAACCCATGAAGTGAAATCCTTTCAATTAAATTTTTTGATTCCTTCCGCGTTTTCTCATTTCCTTAGGATATTTTTATGGTCGAAAGGAATTAAAGTAGTCCACTTACCTGGATAGAAGTCATGTGATTTTGACATTTTAACTCGAGCTCCAGCATCTTTTTGAAGCGAAGCAATCGTTTCACCGCCTTTGCCAATTATTGCACCAGCGGCTACTGATGGCACCAACGTTTTGAAATGATAAGTCGTTGCTGTTTCGCCTGTTTAAAAGAAAAACAAAAACATCAATTAGTCAATGATTACTTATAACATTTTCTAAAGTTTTATGCAAAATGATGTGTTTACATGAGATATAAATGTCACGAAGTTTCTAATCTGAATAATTAAAATGTCAATAAATGAGTTTCATGCTAGATGAGATGATTCGCATTGCAGCTTCAAAGATGTTTTTTTTTGCTAACAAATCTTTCATTTGAAATGATCTCTCTTCAATATTAATATCATTTTTTTATTACAAACGAAGCTTTAAAAGGTCACGTTTCACTGAAATCCGTTCGATGATTTTCATTTTTCTTGACTTTATCTCATGCCTTCCACTAGCTTTAACACGTGACAATGTAGTTTGTGACAACGCAATGACTTGAAAGGTCATTTTTGTTCGTTTAGAATGACTGCAACGTTTTATTAATGATATCTGCATAATCACGATAATGAGTAGAAATTTTTAGTTGAAATTGGCACTAAATGAGCTAAAAGCGTGATCAGACTTTTTTGATAATATTCCCATTAAAAAATGTTACAGTAGTTCGCATGTTTTGTCTACAATTTTCCGTTTCTTACTTTAACACGAAATAAATTTTGTTGTTTTTATTTTTTGCTTCACAACAGCACACAAAACATGAAATGAATTTCACTGTTAAATGAATTAGCGACTGAAACTGTTTTGTTTTAATGCTTATTATGTTTTGTGAATGTTTTACAATTTCAAAATCGTTTCGATTTTTTTTTTCACACGAACTTTTTTTGTTCACAAATGAAATTTAACAAAAACAATTCATGAATGAAGAGAATATGATTTTTTTCTTCTTTGTGTTTTCCTTGGTTTAAAACGGAGATGAGTAAAAAGTTGAAAGCCAGCAACTGGGACGCTTGAGGGATTCATAACCTTTTGTAACAACATTTTATGTCTGACTTTTGCATAAACATCGATTTTGTGTAGATTTTTTTTTAATTTTAACACTTTACTCTCAGCAGATTTAAGCTGGTTAATTTTTATAGAATCTATCACAGCAGCGACCATAGGTGAAAACAATGAATGAAACCCTAACATGAATTTTATGATGTGTTAAGCTTTAAATAAGCTCATATTGCAATCATGGCTGTGACAATGATTTTTGGTGTGGTTAGTGGCAAAATAATTTACTTCCATTCTCGACACTTGCCTTTTTCATACAAGGCTATAAATTAAGTAACATACACTTTGAAAAAAAGAACAATTTACAATGAATGTTGTTTATTAAGCTCTCAATGTTCTTGTTCTCAATTGCAGTATTCCAAACGCATTTTAATGCTGATGACATCAACACGACTATTTAAAGCTATGCGATTCCATATCGCACATATCTAGGTTAAACAGATGATGATTTTATTTTAGGAAAAGGAAGAAAATTATTATGATCGTCATTACGATGATAAAGTATGTGGGTTGGAGTATAAAAAATTGAAGTAATTTATTGCATGAGAATTTTGAGAATGCAGACGAAAGAGAGAAAAAATTGCTTAAGATTGAGTTGTTAGGCAAAGATTTATGAGTTCAAAAAACTGAAGGGAAATGAAGCATTTAAAATGCAACATCTTGACATTTATGACGAGATAGTCATTATAATATTCACGGTGTTTGGTCAGACATTTTTCTCCTTAATTTGAATATTCAAGAATTTGCAAAGTCATCAAATGCGATGAAAATTGATTGTGTTGTCTTTAATGATGATTTTCCATTAGAGAATTGAAATTAATTGTTGATGTGAATGCGAAAACGAAAACATCTTTTTTCACCTTTCAACGATTAATGTGTGAAAATGCTCAACGAGTTCTATAAATTACAAAATAAAAAAGTTTTTAAAACTCCATTAACGGTCTAACCGAGCCTACGCTTCCCTCAGCTTCAAATAAAATTTCAAACGAAAATTAGCCTATAATCGATTTCTCTGATCCTTTATCCATTATTGATTGTCAAAAGGAAAAAGGGATTGAAGCTCAACATCGTGATATTGGAACATTTTCACGCTCATTTCACTAAAAGCATTTTGAGTTCAAGCCACAGAAAAGCGAGGGCACCCTGAATGACGAAAAAAATTGGAACAGTTTCGAGAGATATCGAACTTGCTTTTGTAGTTGTTAGTTAAATATGTAAAAATGAGTTGAGCTCAACTTCACCCCACAACTCAACACTTCCGATCCAACCCTGACCTCTTTTTTCCTGCTTGCAATGCTTAATGATAAAGTATGAGTGAGCAGCCATGATGCAATAAAATTTCGTCGGAAGGATGAAACATTGATTTATGTATTTTGGATGAAATCGCTCTTGTTGTTGCTTTACACACATCTGACCTCAAGTGAAAGCTTTTTGTTGTCATTTAGAAGCTTCTTTTCTTCAACAAGATTAAGTATTTCGAGATCCTTTTGAGAAAAGTGACAAGCAATCTCTTGTTAATCGAAGAAGAGAAAACTAAAAGTTGAAGTGGAAAAAGATTCACTAGAGAACAAAAAAGTTCGCCACAAGTTTGTTCGTGAAAAATCGATGAGTTTTTGTCTTCGTGTCGAAATTTCTTTTTGACTGACACAACCATAAATTAAAGTTTCTCTTTCAACAAGAACTCATAACTCACTCCAATGGTGATGGCAGATTGTCTTATGGGACCTAGGGTAACAAGGATATCAAATCACTTTTGTTTACAAGCAGATGTATGTGTGTACATATGTTCAGTTGCAACTGATGCTTTAATAAACACTACATCTTGTAACAGATAAAGAAGTAGAAGAATTAATGATGTCGAGTCACAATATTTATCCAAGTAATTTGTTTTTCAAGAGCATCTCTTCCAAGAATTTTTTCTCATGAATATTCACGTTCATATTATTAAATTGTAATCTTTGGCAACGTTGTGTGCTGAGCTGTGACGATATTCTTCCGATTTTTTGTGTTTTGATTGACCAAGTGTTTTGTTGTCATGAAGAATTACTTTAAATGAAATCTGTAGTGAGGCTTAAGAAGATATTTAATGTTCCTAAGTTACGATGACGTTAAATTACGAAAAGATTCCCTGGAAATATTTTTCTCTTAGTTTTTCTCTTCACAACGCTTCCGATAAATTTATAAATAGCAACAAAACCTATCAACAAATTTGTTATATCTAAGGAAAAAATAGTAATCAGTAGCAAGAAACGGGAGCAAAATGATCGTCATCTAACTCAGATATTAAATTTTGATGTGATTATTATTACTCGAAGCTTGAAGCATCTAATCAAACTTGTTCTATATTTCCAGGTCAATAAATTTCTAGAAAATTATTTTCTATAAAAATTTATGTAAATATTTCACTTTATTGGGTATCTAATAGAATAGTTTCAAGTAAGCTTACTAATAGGTCACGAATAGATTCTAGGTGTGCCATAATCAAAGTCAAATATTTAAAATTATGAAAGATTGGAAAACAATTTACGGATTTCGAATCATTCTTTCTAATCAGAATGTTCTAACTTGTTAAATTTATACAAATTGGTTGGAAAACTTTCAGAGCATGAAAAGTTAAAAAGTTGAGATAATGGAAATAGTTGCAGTGAAAGACAAACAAATGAAGACTTTAGATTAATGTCAAGTGCACTGCACCATTGTTTCAATTTATAAATTGCATGGAGAAATAAGCTGAAGAACTTTGTTTAAAGTATGTTATGGTGTCAGTAGTGTTGTTGATCATAAAATAAAGAAGTTGATTCTTCAATAAGATTATATTCAATGACCTCCAATAAAGGGCCTAAGATTAAAACCTGATAACCTTCATCATCTTTAGTCTCTAATAAAACTTGACTTTTATATTCTTCATTTGAAGTTCGAATGTTTAACTCATGCACGACTTACGTTTGCTAACATTTTTCTTCAACAACAAAAACTTAAACTTGGACACGAAAAACTAAGTTTGTTTTTATTGTTATAAATGTCTAGAATAAACAAAACCCAAACTTCTTTCAGTATTCAAAGTGTTGAATGTGAAAGTAACAAAAGGGCACTTTTTAAGGTCGAAAATAGTTTTGCTTAAATATATGAATGGAGTGAAGGAATTCGTATAAATAGCCACGAACTTAAGTAGTTTTAATACTATTCATAAAAATGCAAAGAATATATAATTAACTTTAGGTTAACTTTCAACCTTTAATGACGGATGTTATAACGCCCAAGATTTTATTTTTGGTGTGTTAAATGGTAAAGTCGCATTGTCGTAGAATTAGGTCTGGTGGCGTATTTTATTCAAGAAGCAAAAAATAATTAACTGAATAATCCAATTTTATTAAGTTACGCACAACTTCCTTCTGTGCCAATTAAATATAAAAAACTGTAACAAACGCTCTACATTAAGATATCGTTGTACAGTTTCTCAATCAGAAAATTTCATTGCAATCCATTCGACATAAATAATGTAAGCAGTAAATAATTTATTTATGTTCGCTTGCATAAAATTATTGCGGTTATGCAAAAATTAATGTTTTGTTCGCTTTTTAGATGATTTTATGATCCCTAAGATAAAAATAGCTTTGTTTGCCTATTCTGATCATCATATCGGCTCATTTATGCATGAGCATTCACTTAAACCATGTTGCAATTTTAAATTCTCTACAAAACTCTTTAAAGTTATTACAGTCAGAATTTCACATGTCGAATGAGTATTTGCGGTTGATGCAAGAACATAGAAAATATTCTTTCATTTGAAAGCATACACCACAGGGCAAACTGCTATTTAAAATTCTGTAAAACAAGATTTCGTTTACATTTTTTATCATTTTCTATTATTTTCTGCAAGCAAAATGTTTGAAATGTTCATCGTCATTGTTTCGGAGCATTGGAAGCGCAAAAAGTAGAGAGTGAATTTTATTTAGAGTGAAGTAAGTGGAGAAAAAAACACGAAACGAAAAGTTAAACAAATAGAAAAAAATTTCCTACTCTTCTTAACATCAAGTAAACATGACAGCAAATCCGTGTCTTCTAGATTCATGAATATTTCCACTAAATGCCAATAAGGCCACGGACAGGTGCGTCAAAGTCAGAAAGTTTCTCCATCTAACTTTGTTTTATTTTCATCTCGAAAGTGCCTCTTCAAACTTCCGGACCAACCGCGAAAGACAATATTCATAATTTGAGATTCCACGTCGCGTCGTACGATAACAGCGAAGATGAAGAAAGGAAAGAAGAAAGAAATAAACTTGTTTGAGCCGTTTGAATCTGCTTGCAGCGTCGGCTTATATTTGTGATAATTAATTCTTCTTCATATCTGACTTCTCTTTATATATGTATGAACTTGTAAATATGCATTGATTGTGTTTGAGTTTCAATTTGTTTTGTTTGCTTTTGCATTTGGCTGTGTTTACACTTTCATTGAATATTTGAAAACGGTTGAGAGGCAATTGAATAAAATCAACTTTTTAACAACTTATATTAAATGGATTTTTAAGTTCATTCATTTTCCACCCCACGATTTGACATCACACGAGATCTGAAGATATCACATTTCACTCGCTTGCTTTGTATCATAACACACAACTTTGCTTACAGTTTATTCAATTGTCATTAAACAAAACTTGAGAGTGAATCTCAAATTACTGTAAACTTTTAATTGAACTGGTTCTACAAAATCAAATATAATTTAATTATACTTCATTGAAATGTTGCTTGAACGAAAATCGTCTGTGAATCAAAGATTGTGATTGCCATCATTATGCAAGACTTTCAATCGAGCAATAAATTGTGTAATAAATATATTTGTTTGTCTCAGTGACGACACTTCTCGAAACTTTCTTGTCGTCTAAACTTTTTATTCATTGAAGCAACTAATTGAAACATGAAAAGTGTGATGGTAATGGAGTCATTCAATAACAATCATAACAACCGATGGCGACTCAGTTTCACACAATTTTTGATTGCGAAATTAAAATTTGCCATAAATATTTCAAATAAATTTATTTTCTCTTAAATTTGGCAACTTAGACTATTTGCATTAGAAATAAAAATTCAATGTTCAACCATAATTAATTAGAATTTTCTTTCTTCTTCTCCGAAAACTGATTTTCATTAATTAAAGTTACGAGCACTTCTTGGTTTATTATTCTTTGTATAATGTGAAACAGAATTTAGATGAGTTGGCAGAATAAATTGACAACTGAACAACTTAGGCAGCTAGGACATCAAAGTCGAAATTATTGATGAATCCTAAAACTTTTGATTCCATTACAATGTTTCATTTGAATTGAAATAAACCATAAATTTGTTTGTTTATATTTTTAAGGCATTTTGAAGCACTTTGTCTAAGATTGCTGTTAGTTTAATGACTAATTTCTTAATTTCTTGTAAAATAATTTTTATGACTTTAAATACGAAATGTTGACGCCACACGTTCAAATTGATTTTTATTCGTTTTTAATTGCTTACGTCAGTAGTTTCCATAACATGTGGTTACATTTCTATTTCATTTGTTCGAAAATAAGCATAAACAAACCGAGTCGAGTCGTCTAATGACTCATTAATTATTTACTTAAAGAAGACAAGATCAAAAACGAAAGATAATTATTAATGGTGAGCTACTTTGCTCGGTTTTCCATGCTTTTTACATTGAATTCGTTCTATCGTACATATGTGGATTTGTTAAATATTTCTTTTGCTAAAGAAAAATCTGTCCAAAGTCGTTTAGCCCAAACCCATCAATTGATAGAGTGAAGTCTAAATACGGACAACAGTGCTTAAACACTGACTAAATATAAACTCGAAGATGGAAAGGTATCAAGTTAATCTGCTTGATATTATTTAAGAAAGGAGCTTATACTGTTTTGATCCAAAGAATCATCTAAATTCTGTGATTAAGGGACTAAGTATAAATAACACAAACACGATGAAAAAAGTAGAAAAAAACGTCATCCTCATGTTCTTTGTATTCATTAAAATTTTAAATTTGATTTCACATTTTTTGTGGATTAATGAAAGAAGATTGGGAAATGGCCTCAAACATTACAAACACACAAAAAAATTTATGCATAATTTATTTTTAATTATCCTACATTTAAATGAGTCCATTATCAAGTTATGCTTTGTTCAATTTTATGCTTCACTTATGCATTTGTGTTGTTTATTTATTTATTTAATTTTTTTTGAATTGAAAAGAGACATAAATTTGAACGAGTGGATTTTCAGTGATTTTTTCCATTTATCTGATAATAAATAGTTGTGTGTGTGCGTAGTTTGTTAATAATGAACGAGTTCTGCTGTTGAATATTTTATTTGTACCGCAACATAAATTCAGAAAAAATATCAGAAATTTAAATTTTCTCTAGACGAACTATGTTGGCTTTATGTTCAACATAGAAATGTTAAACATTAAAGTAATTGAAGCTTTTCATTCAAAGTTTACATAAACTCAACTTCAAGTACATAAATAAAAGAAGAATTTCGCTGAGTTTGACGATGTTTCAATTTCACGCTGTGGGAATAATGAAGCAATTTGTTGATTAATTGAGAAGATTTATTGCAATAAAAAATTCATCATCAATGGAAACAACGTCAAAATTGATTTAAAGCTTAATGAAATATATTTCATTTGTTCGAAGAAAAAGAAGACTAAAAATTAAACTGACAGTAGAAACGATTCTGATGTCAAGAGGAAATGAAATGGAATGAAAAATGATTGAAAGAAAAATCTTATCAAGCGCCAGGAAAGGTAACATCTTGTCACCTTATTTCTGGTACTCTCTACCGACCGAACTTCCTCACTTGAAAAATTGTTCTTGAAATTCGAAACGACGACAACAAATTTCCATTTCCTCTCGGATCACATTGTAAAACTTTTTAGTCATACGACAACATATTGAATAAATTGCTTGATGAAACGTTGCTTCAACGCCTGAGGCAGGGATTGATAATAAAAGATATGAAATATTTCAGAAATGAGCAAACGTTTGATTTGTGATTAAAATTGTTTTTGTTCTGAAATAAAGAACATTAAAGAAAAAACGGAGTTAAATATGTTAATATTTATTGAATCATTCAAGAAAGATACGAGACGAAATCATGCAAAGACGTATTTCAAGCAACAAGGTAAAAGGTTAAAACGTCGATCTCTCAACCCTTATAAATGTAATTTAAACAGTTCATTTGATGGGAAAGATAGCGGATGAGAGTCTCCATTGCATTATAACGAGACACAATTTAAATAAATTTGTATCAGATTCAGATTTTTCCGCTCCAGGGATATATTCTTAAACAAATATTTTGTTTTGCTCAAAAGCATTTCAACCCACACCGATAAAAGCAAAGGGAAAATAAAAAAATAATTTTTTTCAGGGCTTATAAAGGAATTCTTTAACTTAAAGACTTTAAATGTATTTATAAACATCCAAGTCCTTATCTCATCTCGTTGAGTCATAAAACAACGTCTCCAGATTAGAATGTCATTTATGATGCCATTAAGAGAAAAGATTTTCATTCTCTCATACAACATCAACAAGAGAAAGCAAAATGAAAAGCACTGCAAATTTATTCGCATAAAAATGTAATAATCATAGCGTTTTATTTTTATTTATTTATCAGCGAATACCGCGGCCGCGAATTGGAGGGTAAACTGGCATACGAAAGATTGTGATTTAGTCGGCATAAATTTCTTTTGTTCATTACAAAAGTTTTTCTTATCAAACGTTTTCTTGTGAATAGTTTAGTTTTTACGTTCTGGCATGAAATGAATTTAAATTATTAAGGAACTGTGTAAGTTTTTGTCTTGTTATGTAACATCATTCCTTAATTTGTCTCTCAACTTCAAGTTTCAGATATAATCATCATCATCCACACAGTATTACGCCACATCATACATACAAACAGACTTATGCGAAGAAGGAAGGGAAAAAGCATCTAAAACAAAGCTTTTATGAGAGTCATCTGAGGAATATCACCGCGAAATAAGATAAAAATAAAATTTTTCAACCTGTTAAACTCGTTTCATCATTGGCATTGTCATCATCATACTAGCATCTTCACGTTTTCGTGTACATACATATGTATTTCATATATATTTTTGTTACGGAGGCCCACCTTTGGTGAGGTCACCGTATTGTATTCGACATTTTTTTTTGGAAAATTTTTTTTGCTTAAATATGCTTAAAATAGCATGAAACGTCGAGAAAAGTGGAAAAAATGGACTTCCATTTTTCCGTCGCCTTTCAACCCTGTCTGTCTGTATGTATGTCTGTCTGTATGTAACTTTTTTTTTGTTAACTTTTCTGAGAATTCTTATCAGGAATTTTTCTGAGAATTCTTATCAGGAATTTTTCTGAGAATTCTTTCTAGAGTATTTCCGAGAATTCTTTTGAATAGGACGATCGGTGCGCGTGTGGGAGAGTGAGTGGAAGACCAAGGACAGTCGGAAGGTCCATGGACAGTCGGAAGGTCCATGGACAGTCGGAAAGTCCATGGACAGTCGGAAGGTCCATGGACAGTCGGAAGGTCCATGGACAGTCGGAAGGTCCATGGACAGTCGGAAGGTCCATGGATAGTCGGAAGGTCCATGGACAGTCGGAAGGTCCATGGGCAGTCGGAAACTCCACACCGGCCGGAGTAACTTAAAATTATGCGTTAGCATAATTTGAAGCTCCCCATGTGGAGCTTCCCCATCTCCAATTTAATTTGAATTCTTCCTCTTATGTCTTATAACAAGACGCACATCGTTGTCTTAAGCGTGAAGATGGAAGGCAAAGAAAATCCCTTATTCACTCGATGTGGTCTTGAACGTGAAACTTTTTTCATTTTTTTCTTGCTTTTTATTATTTTTACGCTTCAAGGTAGTTTGTCTTTCGCCTTATTGAATTTTCGTCTTATCATATTACACCTTTAGTTCTTTTTTCGTCCTTAAGTATCCACACCGAGGTGGCATTTCACGTTGTTTGAACGTGTCTCGTATTTCGCCTTTATATTTATTGTTATTTTTACTATGAAAGGAGAAATAACATAAAAACACCAAAATCATTGCCAAAACTAAATTCCTTAAATTTTCCTTTATAAGTAAAAAAATACTAAAAGTAAATTAATCATCAATGCCACGGCCGATTTCAGAGTCGACAGAAAAAAGACGTTTATGAAGACAAATATCTTCCAAAAAAATATTAAAAGATGGATAAATTACCATAAATTATATTCCTTGATAATATTCTTATCACTTGATCATTAGGCGACATTTTTAGGAACAGCAAGAGAATTTCTTTCTTTTCTTTAAATGAATATTTATTACCAAAAAGATGGAAAGCAGTAAACATTTTACATATATCTACATAACGTCGTTAATAGATGTTGAACATTGAAAACATTTATTCCAATTCAACTTGAAGCCATTAAATTTTCACCTTGAATCTAATGGCATTTTCTTGGCATCGTCACGAATTTCATTTCAACTCTGGCCGTAGCGAAAGTTCCTTTTATATTTTACCAAGCAATTTTGTAATAATTTCACTGCCATTTTAATGTTTGATGTTCTGAAATTTCACGAACAGCAGGAAAGAAAATAATAATTGAAAATTTGTTTTGCTTGTTCTATGTCAGTGGGTGTTAGTTATGCGTCTGTTGTCCTTTATGACTCCCAAAAGCTAAGCCTAAATACACATTTATGGTGCTTTCATTGTGACGAAGAGCTTTCTACCATGAATTATAATTTTTTCTCGTTTTCCATTTCGCTACACCCTCGCACAAATAAAAAAATTATTAAATTCCTCAAAGCGGTCTCTTTAAGGTTTCGCCTTCTTCTTCTTATTCAAAGGCAGCCTAAAAGCGCAAAAAAGGAAAAGAAAAGTCGATGAAATTTTCTTTCAGAATGAAAAATGAATGAAATCCGAGATATATCGTTCGATGTTTTCTTTCTTTTACTTCCATATCCTTAGATAGTACGAAGCGTTATTATTCAATCGAATGTTTATTGTGATTTCTACAACACAAACAAATCAGGGATCTTATGTGAATTCGCAAATCGAATCATGTTACGATTGGAAAAGTGAAGCATGATGGAAAATAAAATCAATTTTGACCGAAAAGAGATTGCGAGCTTTACTGCTTTGATGTGCATGTGTCTGCATAAATTCAATTTCCTTTTATTATTTTTTTTTTCTTAGGAATTTCTTCTTGCTGTGTAAAAATAAAATAGTTTCGGCATTGGCACATATTTTCTTTTAATTCGTCTGCATTCTTAATTATTCAAGATTTTTAAGACAAGGAAAATATTTTCTGTTTTTAGTTTCAGGGTGTGCAGTGCATGTGTAATCAAGCTTACAAGCTATGACGACATTTAATTGTTATGAAAATTAAATGAGAATAGTGAATTCAAGTATTATTAGGCTAGCCTGAGAACCTTCATTAGCCTTTACACTTTTGTATCAATGAAATCATTGATCAATAAAGATAAACAGTAGATACAAGAGAATGAAATGAATGAAAGAGAACGTGTAGCATGAAACGATTCAAAAAATAAATATCGATAAACAATGAAAGCCTAATGGAAAACCAATAATCAATTGTGACATCATACAATGATCGGCATGGTGTCCCTAAATAAAATCATAAAACAATATAATTCATTCTCATTTCACTGAGCGAGAAATTAATGATACGGCAAAAGACCATACCATCAAAGTATCATAAAAATGATCTTTCTGAGATTGCTTGCGATGGAATTCATTCAAAATGAAATTTCATTTGATGGTCGAGTGGAATTTTCACGGTTATTACTTCTCGTTGTAAGACATAAATTTTGATTCTTAAAGTCAGATAGTATAATTAAACAAGTGATGATGAAAATATTTTTGCTAAAATATGACGCGACAATTGCCTTTAAAACTTTATGTCAGCTGGTGCAATGACATGAACTTTGAATGAAGTTGGATTAGAAATCATGAACAAAGGGGAACAGTGAGAAAGCATTTTTGTGTTCCTTTTATTTTCAGTGAATAATATAAAACACGAAAGCGAAACTCCCAAATGATTATCGCGTCAAAATCTATTGAATGGTAATTGGCCAAAGCAATTCTTGAACAGCACACTCCGAAAATTTTGTTGTCAAGGTCACGAAAACCGAAACTACCTATTTAAACGAGAATTTACTCATTCATCGGCAATTCTTTAATGTCTGCTTTACTCTCGTCGTTTCTTACACTTGTGCGACTGATTTTACTTCTTGACAGAGACCCGTTATTACATTTACTAGAAACATTGAACGAGAAGTACGGGGAAAAATAACTGGTTAACGACGTCATGACCGTGCACAAGTGCCAAATGTAATTAACACATTAAAGACTTGAGAAATTGTGGAATAAAGACAACAAACATTACTACCAACACAAGAACGAATTATTTGAAAAATAAATAACATTTCATGACCATTTTTCGAGTCATAGCCGTAATTCCGATCTCAAAATTGCGTTGTGCTTCACAATTGTTTGTCTGTCGCCTGAATACCTTCTGTGTTTCTCTTTCTTGACATGATTCCAAATAACAAAATAAATATTTTGCTACTTTTTAGCTCTCAACGTTACCTTTTAGGCACTTTAGATGAATTTTTCTTTCTTGTAAAATGGGAGATACTGTGAGAGAAGATGAGCATCTTTATTTTGAGAAAATATTATATTTAAGTCATCCTGAAGGTCTGTAAATAAAATATGTATTTACTTTTTTCGTGGTGATGAATTCTAAAGCTAAAAACTGTGCAATTTATTTTGTGTACGTCTCTTAATCAAATTATGTCCGAAGAGGGAACTTTATGATGAAATGTTTCTGTAGTAGGTTGAAGTTTAATGGCACCATGAAGACAAGCACAAAAACATTCTGAATATTTAAATGACAAGAATCAAGAACTTTTGTTATTTTCCTTCTTTTGTTTGTCATAATACATTGCAATTTATAATCTCATCTCGTTTATTTCTATGACATTTAAAGCTTTGCAAGTATATTTCATGTTATTAAACATAAAATGAATGCTCTGCTTTGCATATTCAACCTGCTGACATAAACTAAGTGTAAAAAGGTGTTGAAATGAAAGCTTTTAGAATGTTTTTCATTTTTATGTTTTTCAAATAAATCAATATTTATGAATTCATTCGTTTCAAAACATATTTTTCAATTATGGAATATGCAAGTGCTCAAAGAATATTTCATTCAATTTAAAGCATTCCACAAATGTTATTCAAAATCTCTGAAAAAATATTTTCCATATTTTCCTATAAGATTGCCTTAAAACTGAAGCTTAGAAAATTTCATGGAAATTGTGCCAGCAAGGAATTGAAAAGATAATCTAAATAGGCTGAAATTATTTAGATAATCGAAGCAATTTTAAGAAGAAAACTATGCAGTTGATGTCATGACTATTGCCAGAGCTTTTTCGATAGTTGAATAATAAAAATCGATTGATTTTTTCTGACGTTCGTTGTGCTTCTAAGTTCTTCTTTTATGTAGGTATGCAGATAACATGAAAAAAGTTATCTCGACGATATCAGCAAGTTTTACTGCAGATGCACTTAAACTTAACGATGCACGTTTATTTGCATAAATGATCAGATAAACATGGAAAATTAAGCTGTTATTTCCTCTCTATTTATTGAGCAAGTTTAAGCTTCAATTCAATTTGTTTGTTTTACTAATGACAGCAATAAAATTTCAGAGATGAACGCGTGAGAAACGATATGCGAAAAGTTTCTATATTCGTTTCAAATAGAAAACGAAAGCCTATTAAGCATTGATCACGTTCAGTCCCACGATAAAATGAGTGGAGAAAAGCAGAGACGACGATGACATACATTTAATCTTAAGCGTTACTTACATAATTGAGTAAACTACTCGAATATTTACTCGACATAATCAGCACTTCTCTTTCATTCCCTTAATCATAATTCCTTGTTTTGCTTTCCATCATCATAATTTCACAGTTCAACGATATCGGATGTACAGAGGAAGAGATTGAGTGAAAAATTCTTCTTCTTTTTGTTATTATTAAAGAAGAACAAAATCAAGATTTTTATCGTGTTTGTTAGAATATTAAAAGCAAATTGCTTGTCGTTTATTCGCCTCTGAAATTTTCTTTCTGAAGTATCGTTTAGAAATATTAATTGGATGGAAAATTAACTGTAACCGAATTTCTAGCTGCCTTGCTTTGAAAAAAGAAAATTGAAATGAAAAATATTACAACATAATTCTTACAATTATGAGAGCGCTTTTATTGAATTTGATGATTGTTTCCTATTGAAAAGATTTCGTAAAAAGCGGTAACATTTAACGTGCTTTATATTGAGGTTCGACCTTACCCAACATAACGAAGAAGTCTCGCTTTGATGACATTTCAATTTGAAGTCGTGACTTTATGATTTCAATTTACGAAGATAGCTTTTTGCTTCTACTCTTGCACAGTCTTCCAAAGTTCTCGAATGTTGACTTTAAGAAAGTGAAATGAACTCGTTTGAAACCAACTTGAGTTGTAAACCCTCTTGAAAACTTTAACATTTTAAAAGCTTCTCTTTTGAGTTAAAAGTTTTTAAAAGGAAATTTCTTTTACAGATAAACAAATCAGGTCACGGATTTCAGTAAAAGCTTCCAATATAATCGGAAAATTGCGAGAAAGAAAAAGGATGAGAAAAGTGTCAATAGTCAATGTATCGAGATCTTCTCCCGATTACATTACATCCTTCAGTGAACCATGAACGAGAAATATAACAAAACAGCAACTTATTCTGAGTAGCATTCCTTAAGGAATTGAAGAAGTGCCATAATTATTCATTTCAAGTATTTATCAAAAGATCCTTGAACAATTTTCATGAAATCCTTTCTTTATCCCATCTTCAATAGAAAGAAAAAGAAGAATAGACGCAATGAAAGGCGCTTCAGCTCCATAGAAAGGCGATATAGATTGTAGCATAAAAATATCACTTCGATACAACATAATAGAACGCTGGGAAGATTGGAGACATGGAATAAAGGAAATGAATTTTATGAAAAGAAACATTTCTTACTTGATTAAGAATGCTTACTGCAAATATGTTGAATTTTATCTATTTCAGAAATGAATTTTTTTTGATGTAATAGAAGTTGTCTCAAGAGTTTGGAGATAACTTTTTAAACATATGTAAGATGTAATAAATGAAGTCCTTGTGCGATGAAGGAAATAACATGATTACAATCATCTATTGATTTGACGAAGTATTTATGTTCATCATTATGCTTCAATCTCTTTGAATAAGTATACATTCCGTAAGGAATATTTCGATCCATCAACATAATTCTTTCTGAAGAAGTAACATTGTCATGATTGTTTGAATTCTTTTATTGTTGTGATATTTTTCCCTCTCATAGAATGAAAATTTATTATCATAGCTCTCGGTTTTTTCAGTGCATGAGACATCTATCATGATCATTTTTATCATTCCACTCCTTTAATGCATCTTATTTTATTAGTCTCATGTTACGTTTTTGTGTGAATATAAAACGATTTATTTACGTATTTTATGATGAAATATGTTTCGTTTTGTTGTGAATAGAAACCATTTCTTTCTTCTCATCATGACATAGATATTTAGAAAACAAAATTGCGATATGTGAAAGAGCATTTCAGCTCTTCCCAAAACATTTTCATCAAGAAGTTCAGACATGAAAATTAAAATTAGGTTTGTATAAAATAACAATAAAAGTCAAGGACAAATTTCATTTTCCCTTATCCTGATAGTGAGGGGTATAAATATTAAAGAAAAACAATTTAAATTTCATACTGATGGCTTCAATGAGTAATTTGAAGCCCATAGCATGCTTGGAATTTAGTCGGTTGAGTGCATGACATGTATAAAGAATTTTCTTATAAATATGTATATGAATGTTGCATGTTTTTGTTCCATGCCTGTTTCTTGTCTTCGAAGAATCTAGCAAATTATTAAATTACAAGTTATTGAGAGCAAAGAGGAAAAGCATATTAAATATTTCATAGATCGATTCGTGATGGAGCACCAAATAAAATTTTATTCGAGTACATTAGAAATTTCCTTTTCCTTTTTCTGTTACGATAAATGTCGAGTGTGTTATAATATTCTACTGAAAAGTCATTTCAAATATTCTCATGAGACAAATGAGGCTCTCAGATCAACTTATGACGATTGATAGCTTTTGAAAGTCACTGATGATCGTCAGACAATATTGTAAGAAAACTTTTTCCATTTCTCCTCCTTCAAACGTTTTCCTTCCATTAAATTTTATTTAATCTTTTTGTTTTCATAACATTCCTTTTTTCCACCATTTTGAACTGAATCATATTTAATTGAAAGAGAAAATATTTTTGTAATAAAAAGAAGGAATTTTAATACAGCGGCTTAATTTTCGTTATGCTCAAATCTTTTTCGTAGCTGTTTCGAAAATTTAATGATTTGTTTAAATATTTGCATCCTTAGCAAACATTTTAGAGAGTTTGTTGCGTGCTGTTCTTGCTTCTTAGTAACAAAGCGATGTAATTAGAATGAAGGTCGACTTGAAGGAACAGAAAGCAAAATAGGAATTAATGATAAGAAACTCTCCAGCTTTAGTTCCAGGCAAATGGAAAAAGGCACAGAAATGTTTATTTAAGCACCAAATCTCGTTTCTAAGACTGTTCATTCTTTCTCTTGCCTTGTTCGCGTGGGAATGCTTTTGTTTATATACCACTTAAAGAACATGAGGAAAATGTTTTTCTTTCTCTTTTTGCAACCATTGCAAAACCTAAAATCACTGAGAGAATGTTGATGCTAGATTTAGTTATCATTGAGAAGCAATTACGTGAAGTAATTACAAAGCAAACCACGTCCATAACTATCTGTTTGTACGATTACCAGTGGAACAAAAATAATCTCAGATATCTTTTCTATCAACATAAACTCATGTAAATAAGGGATAATTAATACGTTTGAAGCAACCGAAAAAGTGATTCTATTTGCAATAATTATAATTATAGACGCGAAAATGAAGAAATAAAATAAACTTTACCGATCGAAAATGCCTTTGATTAATTACTTTAGCATTGACTTTGTGCGTTTCTTTATGGCATTAAACGAGCTTCTTATGTGTGAGAAATTTTTAACATATAAAAAAGACAATTATTCACTTTTAATGCTCGTGCTTGTTCATGAAATATTCACGACCGTAAGCTTACTTAGGCTGCTGTTGTTTTTATCTGAGTAACAAACAGCGACTTGTTTTATTTTTTTTTGTTCACTTCCATGCTCGCATTAAATACAACATACATAAAGAAAAAACTTTATTTAACGTTTTCCAAGCTGATATTCATCTTTTTAAATGGTCTTATAAATTGTGTTTAATTAACAAAAAGTTGGCGTACGCATTTTCGAAGGTAATTCTTTTGTTTCCAAAACGAGAAAGAGAAAAAAGTGAAGCGAATTATCTTAACTGCTGTGTTTATCAACTTAAACATCGTTTAATGAATAAACACTTGCAATACCTAACTTTTGTGGAAATTTCGTTTAGTATTTGATGAAAATTCGAGTGATGTGGGAACGTGATTAATCACAATTCACAAACAACGACAACCATTTCGGGTTTACCCGAACTTCAAATAACTTTGGGTAATGTATTGTTGCTCGGTAAACGATAAGTTTACATATATCTTCGATAAGAAATATTTTAAAGTTAACTTCAACCTTATGAATAATTAATTTTCTGTTCTTCATGAACTTCCCTCTTTTTTTCGTTTTTAAATTTAAGTTTCTTCGTTTCTCGATCTCAAGAGTGGGTGTGGACTTCTAGATGATGTGAAAGATTGTTTTACATGCTAAGTTGGTAGAAAAAGATTCTGATTAACGATATGCATACGTTTTCGAATTACTTAGATGATTTTTACGTAATCTTTTATGCATTATCAGCAACGTCTGATACATTATTAAGAATAAAATGCTGAAATCGCATTTATTTTCAACGTTGAGATTTTCTTTTTTATTCTTTTGTGAATCGAACACATGTGTGTACCGTCCATTGAAAGCTTTAATGTCTTTACTTTACTTAAAGATAGATTTCATGTAAACGACAATTCAGTCTTCTTATTCTATGGAAGAACATTCGATCGAGTCTTCTCAGGCCCATATTGTATTACATCAAATGTAGATTAGTGCACAGCTTTATTCATTGATATTTCAATTATTCATTCAGTAAGTGTAACCAAATAAACCCGAGAACCCACAAAGAGCTTTAAGAATCAGAAATCTTTGGTTACAAATAAAAGACTTTTACGAGAAGAATGGAGATGACTATTTAGGATATCAAATGTGAAGAAATCAAATTAAAATTTACAACATTTCTGGCATAGCATAGAAATGTGTTGTATTTGATCAAAAACAATCTTTTGATTTTTCTTCTTTGGCTATTTTCATGAGATGTCCACATAAACAGTTTCGAAAATTAGGCCAAACGAGCATAAAATGTCTGATAAAAAAATTCATCGAGGGAATGAGAAAGGATGAACGAACAAAAAACTTTGCTTGACTTTATACGTAACAAAGAACGCTTTATTGTAATCCCTTAAGTGTTTATCCTGCAATTCTATGGAAGCATTCCAAATTTCCTCAACGTGTGAACATAATGGGAAGCATAAAAAATGAGAAAAGACTTGATCTTTCAAATTCAGTATTAATTCAAATCCTTCATGATTTGGAGTTACTTCCTGTCTTCCATTACAATTTCCATTACTTCAATTTCTCTTCTAAATTACTTCAGAAGGAAATTTATATGCCAATGCGTTTCACATAGGAAAAAACATGATTGACATGGATAAAATTGTATAACATTCAGTGGAAGCTTAACCATAAAATTCACATAACCCGCAAATGAATCGTTGCTAATTGTTTGCCGGCACGATATTTTGGCTTCTGTTATGACGAAGCATATTTACTTATTTCTTTCAAATTCTCTCTCTTTACTTTTATTAAAGCGTTTAATCGCAAAGAGAAGTTAAAAAGAAAATCTTCCGGTTGAAATAAAATCATTCCAAATTAAAGAAAAAGAGAAAACAAAGGTTTGTGCCGCGAATACATACGAAGATATCTACACGAATCCCGTGTTCAGCTAAGTGGCTTTTTCTCCTCTTTTTTCTTTCTCTGATTCTCTCATTTAGTTTTTGCTATTTATAATTCATACAATGTAAATTACATGGCATTACTTTGCTCCGTACAACACATATTAGATATGGCATACACACATGAATTTTTAAAGCTTTGACTTACTGACTTCTCTTTCGTTTGGACGTCTGATTCAAGCTGAGCTACCTTACAACTTATTTTCTCACACACAAAAATAAGTAACAATTTTCCCCACGCATAGAAATAGTTTTGCTTGTAGTTTTATATTTGAAACAAAAGACGGTGAGAGAGAAAAAGAGACCCAAATGTGTTTATTCAATGTGTGTCAGGGTCATCTAAATACTACTACTATGCACTGATCACTTGACTAAAATAGCAAATACTTTGATGGCTTCTCGAGTTTTGTTTGTATAATAACAAAAAGCTATGTGGAATGAATGATGGATAAGATTTTTTTGTTAAGCTATTCAATTAGACCAGAAACCACAAAATTGTCGGCGATATCTTTTCCGTTCCGGTTATTGCTCAATACGGGCAATATTTCCGATTTTTTTCTTCTTTACTCAAATTGTTTGATTATGTAACACAATTGAAAAGATGAATTGTCTTATCATGTGTCTTAACATTGTGTACACATAAACAACTTGAAAGTTGCTCTCATCTTCCTTTTCACTCTCTCAAATCAAATCAAGTTAGGAAAAGTCAAAGCTACGATGATTTTAATCTTTTGTTAACTCTTCCGATATTATAAACCTCTGACGTCATTTGTTAATGGATCCGCATTTTCTATTCTCTTTTAAAGAGAGAGAATAAGAAAATCTTCTATTCGCGCGGCTTTTATCTCGGTGGAAAATCTCAGGGAAGAAGCACATTAATCATGTTGTATGAGTTATGATTCGTAAGTGAAAAATGATCGCTAATAATAGAAGTTTTCTTTAAAATTTATTATCCCGCCTAATTGACTCTCGATCGCTGAAGAATATTTCAGATGAGATACTTCTTCAACTTGTTTTTTTTCTTGAGTATATTTTCCATGAAAAAATTGATTTAATCTGGAACGGAAATATCTCTTCAATTGTTGACTTGCGAAACAAAAGGAAGCTTTTTTTTTTCGTGAAGACAAGACTTACACTTTAAGTATTTTTTGATATTTTTTACGATTCTTTTATATCTGTTTTGATTGGAAAGAGAATCATGAAATAATTTCCCGACATAAAAAGAAAACAATTTTAGATTCCTCCGTAGAGATGAAAACAATATTTTAAATCATTGAGTGATTTTAGTTTCGTTGAACGAGGGAATTCATTCCCTTGCTGTGAAATTACTTCCATCAACAGTAGCATGCTTTTCCTTCCATGCGCTGAATAACTTATGTATGTACAAATGCCTTGTTATTGATTTTAATTTGATAAAATGGGCAACGATGCAAAAATTTTCCTTTAACTCTTTTTGATTGATTCTTTTAATTTTTTATTCAGTATCTACGGAAAATTTGAATGAAAATTTCCATGGATGAGAAGGAAGCTTGTCTATGAACAGCAGCACTTGATATTATTAAACTTTTTTCTCCATTTCTCTGACCTACATTCAAAATCGTCTGCTATTCTTTAATGATGTGGCTTTGTAAGTATAAAGTATGATAAAAATTTTTTTTTGCACAAATTGCTCGACAATTAACATCCCACAAACCTAAAAACTGTTTTTTGAAGAAACATTTTGTTGATATTTTTCCAACAAAAAGTACTTAAAAAGGTAAAAGCATTGAGATTTATAACCACAAAGCGACCGAAGTGAAAAACGAAAAGAAAAACTTTTATTTGCCTTAGAAAAATATTTTCCTTTTTTTATTCGCTCATAATTTATTCGCTCGACAGCGTGCGAGAAAAAATAAATTCTTTATGCCATTTCGAATATTTTTTCCTTTCCATCTTGCTCCTTACAACACCATTTGTTATCTTAAATCAGTGAACTAGGCCGGAGGAAGCATTTTCAACGAAACAAAGACAAATGAGACATTCCGACATCATTCGTAGATGAAAGAAGTTTATTCAAATTAATGTGAAGATGTGTAAATGAAAGTTGCAAGCAAAACGATCCTCTGAAATGTAAGGAACCGCATTTGCAAGTAAAGAAATGTGAGCATATAATTTATGAAGTCAAGAATACGCGAGTAGTCGCTTCGTCTAACAATCTTTCAAAAGGGCGTTATCTTTAAGAGGCAGAGATTACGTTGGTACCTATAAATTTCAATTACACTCTAGAAGATAATTATATTTAAATTGGAAATTATTCCATCACGCAGTGAATAAAGTAAGGGAGCAAATTTCGCCCTGCCTAGATCGGAAAATAGGTCGACGTTTGAATGAAATGTTAAGCTTTTTACAAAGCTTCTGTTGAGTGAGATCACAAATCCCTTCTCTTACTGATATTTCCGACGTTTATTTCTAAATGGAGACCTCTCCAAAAATGTTTTAGCAATTAAATCAAAATAATTTTCAGAACAAAAATCTGTAAATTTTCTTGTGCCGCTTTTGTCACGAAATTCTGGCAAAAGAATGAAAGAAATTAATTAAATTAAATCGTAAGTCAAATTAAATTTTTATGAAACGCTTTCATTCCATAAAATATAAATTTTAAACGCCTGAGAGAAAATGGACTTAGGTATTCAAGAAGAATGTTCAATGACAAAAATAGACTCGTCAGTTTGACGAATGACAAGCACAAGCGCGAGTCGTTACATCAGTGACCTAATGAATATTATTTGTGTTTCCAACTGTTTTTCAATGAAAGTCGGGAGACTACAGTTGTAGGATTTCACTTTCTACGATTTCTTCTAGTTGCGCCCACACAATTTAATTATAATTATAAACATCTTCGCATTCATTCTAAAAATAAAACTTTACATTTTCTTTTCAAAATATATAATAATCAAGTTGGTTGTAAATATTTCTTCAAGTATGTGATCCCAAATTTATTTTCATTATCGCAACATAAATAAAAAAAAAATTATGAACAAAAGCTTCAAATTTCATCAAGTAGAAGAAGCTGTCAGGATTGTTTTCATTCCAAGCACTTAATTAAAAAACATTTTTCCGCTTCATGTCTCTAGAATAAATTATGACAAGTGGGGGAGGACGAGTCTTACATCTTTAGTTATACAAATGTATCATTTATCACAAAAAAAAAGAAAATATGTTCATCCGAGTATGCGAAGTCTTTTATCCAAACAACGATAAAGAAATCTGCCATTTTTTATGTCTAATAATAAACTTCAAGTTCTTCGAGTTTCTAATTTTAAGAAGATAAACAGATTAAGGAAACATTGGACAGAAGCAGTCATTAGCCCCAGAGAGTCGTTACTACTTAACACTCTCTTTGTCATCTGTTTGCCTTCAAAAATGCTTTCGGAGAGAAAAGAAAGCAAGTGATTTATTAACAAATATTTACACACCTTGGCAGTACTAAACGAAAGATGTCTAAATAGCTCGAGTGGGGTTAGTCGAAACGTAATGAAGAGAAATGCCAATTTGTGATGTTTCGACATCTCAACACAAATTTTCTTTCTCTTTAGCATTCAAAATTAGATTTTTCACCTCAGGTTGATTTTTTTTGGCAGCTAAACGAGGGACACATCGACTAATAAATCATTTGACGTTTGCACCTAGACATTATTGTATCTGTGTACACAATTTTGTTTCGTCTGCCGATTCATATGATTAAAGGTTGATGCAGCTGTGTAGAAGTTGTGCAAAACTTTTGGAATTGACGACAGTAAGTTGAGAATTTTCTATTTTTGGGAAATGAATTTGTCTTTAAATATTTTTATCATTAAACTTACGACTCTCAAATTAATCAATATTCAATACAGCCTCGAATAAGCAAATAATTTACGAAGCAATGACAGAAACAGGCATTGCATTTGATCATGATATTGATAAAGTGCTTGCACAACTTGGCATCGCTTAACCGTAAATAACGAAAACAGGTTCACTCAAATAATTCAACAACTAATTAATTGTTTTTCATATTTTAAGTTAAATTTGACATGATGCAAATGTTGGTAACATAAAATTTCCTTATGACAGTCTAACGTGTGTTGAATGGGCTCTTAATGAAACAAAATTTTAAATATTACGAGAAATGCTAAATGTAAAGTGTTCTAGCGATCGTTGAGAAATTATAAAAGCTTAAATCGCGACGTAAAGTTGTCATAAAATTTCAAAGTCGTTGCAAACATGAAATCATGATTCCTATAACAAAACTCATTGCGACAGATTTTAATCTGGAGGAAGAAGAACTTCACCCCTTTGGTATTACAACTTTGGAAAAAGTTTTTTGTTCGTTTATATTCTCCGCAACAGAATTATGCTCGTAAAAGTCCCATGATACTTTTATTAAGTTCGATGTCGTAAACAAAATTTTCTTTCATTCATCCACTTTTGTTGTGGAAGACTCGCTTGAAGCAAAAATGGCCTTAAATATTTACTTTTGTTATTTATATATCCATTTTACGGTTGTAATTTCAATTTAATTTATGTTACATGAAAAAATTCTTTTCCGCAACTGAGGTCACTGCATTAGTGAATATAAAAAAAGTTTTTTAGCGGAAAAATGAAAAACGCGTTTATTAGCTAAACCAAAAGTTTTTTGCTTCTTTTTTTTAAGTCAGTAATTATTCAGATGGAAATATTGAAAAACAAGAAAAAATAATATTCGTAAATACTTTCCCGCAAACTATGAAGAAATGTTGCGCAATTATTGAGCATTAGTAATCAATTACTTCTGTTTTTAAGCTGAATGTTCAGCTAATCAAACGGAACAAAGGCACTTTCTTATTTTTATTACAAAACTATTAGATTTTCAGATTGGTTAAAGAAATAAACCTTTTGTATCTTCTCAACCATGTCCACGTCTTTATTCATGTTTTGAGAGAATTCTTTTCTTTTGCACAGTCTTAAAACAAAAATCTATAAATAAATTCATGCATGCTTCACAAACATCAATCAATGATGAAAAGACATATGAGACAACATATATTTATTAATGTTTGTATATTCAAGCGTCTCTAGGCCAGTTGAAATTTTTGAAAAACACAACGAGATAAAATAAAAAAATGAACAACGTAGTCTAATCAAAATAAACAAACAACGCAAATCGTCTCAATTCCACTTGATTGAACTAAATTATATATATTTCACTCCACAAGCATCGTTCTTTAATGTGGTGATGAAAATTTATTGTGCGAACAGTTTCAATGATGTAAATCATTTTTTTTGCGCAATTTCCCATATTAGCTTTATTGCATTTGTATGAGTAGAATAAAAATTTAATAGCAACAATGTTTAAAAATATATTTAAATTATTCGTGTGCTCAGCCTCAAGACACAAACAAACGCCAGATATGTATGTTAATGCATGTTGCAATAATTCAATTAACGATAAAACCTCAGGTCAAAATCTCTTTATAAATTTTTGAAATCAGATAAACATAATTCAAGTATTTTTTACAGTAGCTGATTTCACAACAGAAATAAACTCTCGGATTGTTCGTATCTAATTGGAAAATTGCATTGTCGTTTAATAAAAATTGAATAAGGTTCTTTTGCTGTTACTCAGAGCAAACGATGTTAACATCTATCATGCTTGCATAAAAGAGCATTCCATAGTCAAATTATGATGATGGAAAAAGTATGTTTTATGTCACGTTTCGACGTCTACTGTCTGTTGATGTCGTGTCTTATGCATTAAATGAATAAATCTCAAATGGAAACACATTTCTGACCACATGTTTGATATTTTTTTGTTGTAATTGAAAAGTTATTTGTGTTCAAATTAGGAATGCTTTAATTTTAATAGAGTTTCTCTGTCTTGAAATGTTTTAAGGGAAAATTAACTAGAAATAAATAACAGTAAAACTTTGCATCGTCAATTTGACGCCTAATTTATTTTATTTTATTTACCATTTTACGGTATGTTTGAGCTTTTTATATATTTTTGCATATTTATGTAGGATTTTCTTCAACATCAATGCGGATGTGTTTTTTTTGAGACATCATCGTTTTTTAATCATATTAATGGTGACATGTAAATACAAATGTGCGACTCAAACCATGAATTTTATCATTTGAGAAGCAATTTTAATGCGGTTTAGCTTAAAAAAACTTTTATGATAAAAAAATACTGTTATGAAGCATAACGCAAAGAATTTCCATGTCATCTAAATATTCATATAAATTCCATAAATTTGCATAAAGATCAAGCATATTCTTAAGTTAATCAATTCATTTGTGATCATTTTTATGTCTTTTTCTCTCAAACTTAACAGTTTTTGTTTTGCTTTGCTTTAACACCGACTCTGCAGGGCTTTTTCCCAAACTTTCTACTTTCACGAATTGACACGTCGCATCGATATTCAAATCAAGAGCTGAAGACATTCCTAATTAGATTCCATCGCTTTCTTCGTCGTGTTGTGTTTGCTTTCAACTGCATTTTTCAATCATTGCTACTTATTTAGTAAATAATTCGAAGTAATCTTTTTTTATTCTCGATTTAAAATTTAATGAGCCATGTGAATTTGTACAACAGTGCATGTGATGAAAGATTTGTCTGTCTTTTAAAAGTAGTAAAACGTGACCAAATTAAACAAGTGAAAAGAAGCATAAAAAGCGAAAATTATTTTATAGCTCTAAATGCATTTCGTTTACGATTTTCTCCATCATGTCATTTAATGGTAAAGTTTGTTGCTTTAAAAATGAACAATGGCTTCGAAATGTTTACGTAATCTCTTTTTTTATTCGAGAACTCTTTGTTTCTAAAAGAAATCATTTATTTGAGATACGAAACGGTTCCGGTAACACTTAAAAATGTGTTATTGTAACTGGTGTTTGAAATACGACCTTTTAAATGGCGTTAACTTCCCAATGACGTAAGATTATTCGATAAAACCCCGCAAACATTCATCCATAATTTATTAAATACAGATTTGATCTTTTTCCTAATGTCGATGTCGTAAGCTTCAGAGAGTTTTTAGTTCTTCAGGCAAAAACAAAAAGATTCAATTTTGAACTTAAACATGAGAAAAAGAACAAAAACATAGCTAAGCAAATTTCTCTACAGCTGTCTCAATAAAAAAAAAGCTCAATACTCCTTTGGTTTATGACCCATAAACAACTGATTCCAGTTTGTCGAAGTCAGGAATTTTTCATGAATGTGGATATTTGTTCAGGACGTTTGGGGTGAAAAGGTCAACCTCATAGCTTTTCCGATGGTGGAAAGTAAAGCATCAATCAGTTTAATGGTATTTTAAGTCGTTTGAGATCAACCAACCTGAATTGAGTTCATCTTGTATCATCCTTTATGTTTAAAGAATTTGTTATGAATGTACGAATAATGAAAGCAAATTACAATTTAATTAATTAACGATTAAACTACAGTTTTGCATGTTACATCATGCGGAAAAGCCATAAATTCATATTTATCGGAATTACGCTCGATCAATAAACATTAGTTTCAGAAGAGATGAACACGAATACATTATCGACAACATCCAATGTTGCGATAGCACGTTTTCTGTGTCAGAATCCAATTAAAATTGTCTGTTTGTTCCATCTTCAATCGAAGGATTTTTATAACAATAAATAGAATCGGTTGTAATCGAATTTGGATTCATTAAATGCAATGGAATTGTTTTACATCATTTTAATCTTTGTGATTGAATCAATTTTTTATTTGACTGGTTGACATTGTTCTTGTTTGATTAAACTGTTAAATTTTTATACGCCAATTCCTATTTTGTGAGTATCAATTGCTTGTAAAGTGAAGAGGTAAATTTGGCAAATGTTTCAAGCCTAACTTGACTGATTCGAATCTTGATTTGAATAATTAAAGAAGTTCTCGTTTCTGACGTGACTAAAATATTTTTTATTTCTTCAAAGCGTTAACAAAATAAACATCAACGGCAATGGCAAATTAAAACTTTTCCATTTTCATCTCAATCGAATGATTATTAAATTGATCCGTTTCCTTTTTGTTCATTGCAACGAACACAAAATAGAAGATGAGTGAAGACTCCCATCGTACATATATAATACTGTCATAAGACTCTTCGAAGTCAGTCAAAGCATACAAAAGAGGCGGAAATTTTGTTTTCTTTTTGACGAAAATTCTTTATGATTTTCCTTCCACATCTACCCTTAAATAAAAAAAAAAGAAAACAAGAAGGAAGAGAAGAAGGAGCGACGATAAAGATGTCAAGTCGAAGTTTATGTAGGGAAAAGACGTAAGATGAAAAGCTTCTTTCATTGAATGGAAAACATGAAGTGTCTTCCCATACTGACGTCGCCTCTGCACGAGTTTTTGGTTCTTCGAATTGGAGAAAATGTTCGCAATGGTAAGATACTCAAATGATATTCAAACGAAGAAGAAAAGAAAAGGAAGACTTTGAAGGTCGTTCTTTTTTCGATATAAATTCTCGTAAATATTTAATATTATGCCAATATGAACCTTAATCTTAAGTTTCCGCTTTTCCGATACCATATGAATTCATGCTATGGGAAAAAGAAAAAAAATTTCTATGCTAAAACTTAAACTCTCAAGCACGATATGCGAAATGCGTTGTGATAGTATAAGTCAGTTAGATTTTTTATGAGCTTACTTAAACGCCATGTTTGAGTTACTTTCAATCCTTTTTCATTTCTTATCTTTTATTTAAATTGACTTCTATTTACAGAAAAAATATCTGAAGCCAATCTCAGATCCTTAAACGCAATAAAACGAGCATTATCACAAAGCATAAATATAAAACGTATTCAATGTGAGTGAACATAATAAAAGAACAAAAGAAAGATTCTTTAAAGACAAGAAGATGAAACATTCTTTCAGTCTCATGCTGCAGCATATTGCCGTTTCTTATTCATTCTACGCTTTTCTTTTGACCAAAAAAATGTTTCCTTTTTTTCTTCATCGTGTTTGAAAACAAATACAAAAGGCAGAGAAAATCCGATTTTATGTAAAATGAAATCCAAGCAGCATAATTTTTCTTTCTTGAAATATATTTCTTTTTTGTGTGTGTGTTAGGACTATAGGTTGCCTCACAATGAGTCACTAACACAAACTTATTCGCATGGTTATGTGAATGAATCGATACAATGCAGTAGAATTTGTTCAACGTGAAAATCAGTGTCGCTCGTGGCTTTGCAATCATCGATTCACGCGTTAAAGCCTTATGGATGTCATGCATATAATACTGCATTTGAAAGTTCAATCTAAAGCAGTTAGTTTGAAGCTTGAAGTTTTCTTCATTTTACTAATAATTGACATTAAACAATTTCCAGAGAATTAAATGTTTTCAATCAATTGTCATGATAGAACACAATCCATTCTTATAGGTATCATTATTCAAATCAAAAATTGATTATTGCGTGAAGAATTCAAAACTGTCGACAGGAGACAAGACGTAAAAGATAAATAAGGAGTGGGAGCAACGTTGTCGGTCTCTAATGATCCTTTCAGGCATTTATTAATAGTTTTCCCATGACTTTGAGAATTTTCTATTTTTTCTTTAGCGAAGCTATTGCATCATTTTTCTTAAATGAGACGAAAATGTTTTTACTTTGTCAATGACACTACAACTTTTTTAGGAAGCGAAAAGAAAATTCTAAAATTTTTCTTTTATCTAGATATTCTGTGTATACTGTAGTTTGACTCTTGATTTATTTTTTATATGATTCTGCAATTAAATATCAGGCCAAGGAGTGCGATGAAGCGCAAGCGTGGAAAAGTTCCACGTGACTTTTCTTAAAATAACTCTTAAGTTTTCAAATGATTTTTGTGTCTCGCTATGTCTCTTTAGAGAAAAATTTTTCTTTATCTTCATCATTCATTAATGTCCGGTAAAATGTCAACAAGATTTCTGTTGTTCAAACACCAATTCACGACTTGTGACTAAATCAAAGGGATAAAAATTATGACGAAAAAGGTTTTTGCTGACATTCCATAACTTTGAAATCATTGATGTAAAAACGTGGATGAAGGAAAGAAAAACAAGGTTGATCATCGTTGATCCGAAATCAGTCGAATAAAATTATTTGCCAGTCATTGATTTATGTGGAAATTCGAAATTTTCGTCACGTGTCCTATTTTCACGTATTAAATCGAAAGAATAAAAATTATTCGCAATCACGATAAGCAAAGCTTAAAGTTCATTCATTTAAAAAGGAAAGGATAACGTGAGACAAACTAATTCGTTCTTGCAAAAAATTAATGAGCTTGCGATAAGCTTTTCAGTAATTTCATGAAAATTGGAGCTGAAAAATGATTATGTAATAAACTTTGTAATGAATTCCTTGGTTAGTCGTCTTCACAGTTAAATTAATTTTCTTTTAATTACAGCCATAGTTGCAACAGCTTCTTTTCTTCATTCATTCAAAAATTTTCTCTTTGACTTTAGTTTATAGTAATTGCTTGGAAAAATCTTGAAAGATGTGCTTTTCTTTCTTAATTGGAAAAGTTCGAATTCAATTGAGTGCTTTTCCTGCATTTATTTTAAACAAATAAAGTTGAGAAGAAACAAAATTAAGTTTACTTCATCTAATACAATTTTCTTTCGTTTGTTTTAAAGTTTCAAATACTTTGCTACGTTACTTATAAATCTAGGATAACACTAAAAATATTTCGTTACGTTACAGATTACATGAAAGTATGTGCAGTAGCGTGGTGATTTTGATAGCGAGAAACCGCAAGAAGTATTTTTCAGTATTTTCACGATAGTTTTGCATTTTTATCATGCATTAAGCCACTAATTTATTGCACGATTCTGTTCTCTATCTGGTGTTTAAAAAAGTTTAGCTGGGAATTGCTTACGGATTTAAGCTACAAAGCATTGAAACAACGATTTCTTCGATGTGTATGTGAAAGCATGGAAAAAGTTTTTCTAATTTAAAACCGTCATTGAGAGCACCTGAAGTTTAAGCTTAATAATCATTATAACGAACGACAATAAATATTCCTTTACACACATTATATGTCAGAGATTCTCACATCAAATTTAACTTTATGAAGAAATATTTCATGTTTTTATGGATTTTTCTTGTTAATCTTTCCATAATATTTTATTATTATGCTGACCTACTAAAATTGAAATACTTGTCGTTAATATTTATTCTGATAACGAATTTCAAGGAATAAGTAGTAATAACTCTCCATCCGCTTACGAAGCGAACTCTAAATCAATTCAGTCGCAATATGTTCTGGTTTAGTGACAAAGTTTTTCGCTATTTTTGTCAGCGATCATCTAAATACGCGACTATAGTTGAAGAAACATTTCTCGTAATCTGTGTGAAGAAACGTGATATCTTGTTAAATAAATGTCTTTTATGCTAACCGTGCAATCCTTGAAAATATGGTAATCTACCCTCTTCTTACTTATACCTCATGTTGTATCGTCGTCAGTTAACTGGTTTTTGAATCTGTCACATTTTTTATCTTTTATTTTAACAAAATTTCAATTTCAAGGCGATGTTTATAATAAACGTGACTTTACATGAAATGTTTCGTCTTCTATTTCATCAGTTTTTACCCTCATAAGGAATCAACCCCATCAGATTTAAAAATCTTCTCTTTAAAATTCCACAAGCGGCGCTGATTTTATTATTTTTTTCACAGTTGATTTGTTAATGACTTTGGTTTGTTTTTCCTCAATACAAAATTGGAATTACGTAATTTTTATTTCAAATCCGAAAAGGAAAACATTGTTTCTCGATATCTTCTGTATAAAATGTCGTAAAAATATTGATTTCGGAATATGTTTGTGATTTGGAAGAGAAAATCGTCTGGAAAAATTTGAGTTCTACTTAACAGATGACAAATTAATTTCTTTCGTGATTAGAAACGATTGAAGAATTGATATTGTAAGGATAAGCTTTCGATTAGAGATCAACGATAAAAAGATCTTATTTCAATAATAAATTGGAAAATTATTATTTCAAATTGTCATTCACAGTCTACGACGAAATCTCAATCTTTTCAGAACGTAAATTCTTCAATGATATTTTAAACGTTTCAGTTTTTCCGCGTCGTAACTCTAAATAGGAAGCATCGTAACATGATAACGTTTTTTTCATTTAACTTCACATTGGAAAGTTGTTCTGTCAATTCTCAAGGGTTCTACGAATTTTTTTTATGGTTTCGTTTAGTTGATTTTCTTCTTATTTCAGAAAATGACTTTTTTTGATAGAAGGGTAAGCCTGATAACGACACTTCAAGAAGTTTCAAAGATAACAATGAAATGTCGTTCACTATTTGATAATTGTAACTCCCATATATACTTTTCAATTATCTGAGGTCATTTATCTTTTTTTTCTTCTCAACTTACTGAGAAGATAACAAAAACCAGCAATGAAGCTTGAAATAATTATTAAATTAAAGTAATGGCGTTTAGAGACAAATTCTATTTATGACTGTTTTAAATATTCAAAGACCATTTAGAGTTTGTTTATTATTTAAGAAAATTTTATGCTTATCGTCATGAATGAACATGTTTATTCATATAGCCAAATAATCTTTACAGGTTTCCAAATATCTCCAGTTTGTTTTTAGTCTACTCTTTAAACATTTATTTATTTATCGAATGATGTTACTGAATATGTTATTAAAGCTGATAAGTATTTAATAATGAATAGTTTGGGTTGACTGAAGAAGTAAAAATTGCTGATAACCATAAATGATGTTTATTAGATTGTAATAAATACTTTTTGATCGCGAATGATATCATTAAGAAGAGTATAAGTAGAGACAAAAGACGTTTAAACTTAATCAATGAAGGCTGCAAAATAATACATCAATGAAATGCATGTTGTTGTACATCAACTTGTTGTAAAAGTTGTAAAGATACTTAAATATAGATATAAAAGAACAAAAATATGTAAGAAGAGAGCAAGAAAAAGATTTTCTAATCCTCTTCGTACTTTCTTCAAGCACAATTCAGCGCATGCAAGAAAAATGTAATCTTTTGGTGATGGTGAAAAATAAACTTTCGTTCAAACTTAAGGTAGTTTGATTTGTTGGTGTTTTTTTTTATTATTAAATATTATTATTAATCATTAGAAAGATGAATAAAAATGATGTGGCGATTAAATAATCCTTAGACCAAATAACAACACAATTTTTGTCGCGAAAGGAAGAAGAAAGATGGAGGGAAAGTGAGTGAGAATGAATGGAATGAAATGAAATGTAATTCATTTGATTCTTAATTAATTCTCACTCCACTCTATCCCCATGTTTGTGTGTTTTATGACCCTAAACAATGTGACAACAATCTTTGATATTCAAATATTTTCAATCTTTAATTCATCGAGATTGAAATCATAAATAATTAAAATAAAAGTTTAGAAACAAAAAGTTAGAAAAAGCGATTATATTCTTTTATTTTTTTTTCTTTGTTCATTTCACTCTTTGTGTAAATTCTTTCATGTTTTGTTTTTTTTTAACTTTCACAACATGTCCATGTATTCATCTACTGAAAAAATGAACTCATAATTACAAATATTGCTGGGATATAAAATTAGGAGACAATTAAATATATTCTGTTTTGTGTCCTTGAAGCGAGCGGGTGATAATGAGAGCGATGAAAATAATATAATAGAGTTTGTTGAGTTTTGATTGTTTACAGCACGATTTAGTAGCATAAAAAGAAGAAGAAGAAGATGTAGTAGTAAGATGATTCTAATGATGATAAGATTTATTTTATAAGATGGTGTTATGATGATTGTGGTTCGAGAAGGTGGCTTAGCCTGCTTTATTTTTCGTAGTAGTTATTGATACTTAATTTGCTATTCGTAGAAAAGATTTCAGCTGGTATTGTTTACCTTTTAATTAAAAAAGTTTATACATTGAAAAGAAGAAAGATTTATAAGAATTAGGTAAGTTATGCGTATTCAAATATTTATTTACACAATGATGATATTCAACAGTGATGAATTGATACGCTGACATTTCCTGTTAATGAATATTCTGCAAGTTCTTTAATGACAAGCGAGCTTTCAGATTAAAGCTTCAATGTCCTCCTTTTCTTATGTTTATCGCTCTCTCATTTAATATTTCAGGATTCAATATGCAAGTAAGAAAATTTAAAGCGTAAATAAGTACATAAACCATTATAAAAGTATTTATCCGTATCTGGAAAAGTTAAACACCGGATACTGTTGAGAAAAACTCTTGTTTCAATCTCATTTCTTAACCCTCTTGAATATCATCTTTACTTAAATAATCTTTGTTATCATTTTTCCTTACAGTACCGTCATTAATTTTATGGACACTTCTAAAATATTAATAGAATCTCCATAACTTTTTAATTTCTTATTCGATCGGGACGAAATTTTCAGAATAACGTCTCAGCAATCTTAGCTTTAAAATAAATAAAACATATTTTGATTAATTAAAGAAATATCACTTTTTTTAAATGCTAACTGAAAATGATCGGGGTAATAATTTTATGGACAGTTGCATATAAAGTAATATTTTAAAAAATTTCTTTTGATAACAAGCTGAAGTAAATTTTTTTCTTTTGTAATATTATTAGTATATTGTTTCTTCATAACTTTGAAGAAATCAACACTTTTAATTCGTGAAACATAAGCGGCAGGAGAATGATTTATCCTATATGATGCATAAGAACACCACATTGTTTCGATAACTATTAATTTTGTTATCATGTTCAATATTTTCTACCTCTAAAAAATACTTCCATTAATCCTTCAACTGGTTTGAGCTTAAATTTTGTTAAAGCTAACAAAAAAATCTTGATTTGTTAGAGTTAAACAACTTAAAATACTCCTTTTTTATGTGCTCAAAAGGTGATTGATATGAAAATGTCTGCACAAGTCGGAAATTAATGAAGTAAAGTATGTTAAAAATGATTTTAATTACATCCCTACACATCTATTATTCTTTTAAACCACTAAAAATTTCAATAGAATAACATTAGAGAGAATTGTGGGCCATCGCAAAATACATCCAATTCAACACTCTCCTAGTACAATGCGTATGATTAGAGCATTGTCAAGTTATGTCAGGGAAATGATATAAAATGTACCAATTGTGATAAAACTGATTAAAAAATCATTAATATATTAAAAAAGTCACAATTGGTACATTTTATATCATTTCCCTGACATAACTTGACAATGCTCTAATCATACGCATTGTACTAGGAGAGTGTTGAATTGAATGTATTTTGCGATGGCCCACAATTCTCTCTAATGTTATTCTANCTATTAATATTTTAGAAGTGTCCATAAAATTAATGACGGTACTGTAAGTATTGTTGACATTATGAAGGAGTGTGGAACATAAATGTATTCAAGTAACAACAATGCGACTTTGACTCAATTTTCAGTTCATAAAATTTCAAGAGAAAGGATGATATTTACTGAAGGGACTTTCTTATGAAGCGTACAAACTTCAATATGCATTGAAAATAATTTTCCACCCGAATAAAATCCTTGAATGTGTGAACAGTAATAATAATTTTATGTGCCATCATAAAAGTTACAAGAAGAATCTTTTCATATCTATGGATGTCTTTCACTTAACGAGTTATTCTCATCACATCAGACATGAGATCATTAAGGAGATATGCAAATAATATTGTTAATGTTTAGGATTGTTTTCATCGTATTGTGATTTACGAATCATTTGTGTGTGCTTCATTCTTCGTATAATTTAGAATCTGTCGAATATATGTCGACTTTAAGTATCGTAACATGAAGCATGCTTCATGAAATGTAGTTACTTGCGACTTTTTCTTTTCATTTTATGAAGTGAAACAACATCGTTCCTTACATAAATTTTTTCTGACTTATGAGCCATAAAGTTCAACTTAAAAAATTTACGACTTTCTCCTAAGCAAAATGTTAAAGCACGAGTGGAAGTTTGATAAAAAAATTTGCACATTAAACGTTAACAAAAAATTAGCTTTAATATTTGATGGTTCGCGGTAGCATGTTTGATTAATTGATTTATATAATAACTCATTTGACACCGCTGACAATAATACTTAAAGCTTCATTGAATGTGACTATTTTATATGTAGATGGTGAATTTTTCATGAATGTCTGATTGCTTTTGCGATTTTCAGTTTTTTTTATCAAAACTCACCAAAACCAAATCTTTGCTGCTGCTGATTGTATTGTGGACGTTGGAATGTTGATGAGAGATTTGTTGCAGTTGATGTGTTCGTTGAGCCACCGATGCTCGAACCAACCGATGAAGATTTATTCGATTGCATGGAAAAACTATTATTTCCAATGATTTTACTACATTCAGAGTTGTTATTGCGCTCCGGCAGTGCGGTCGAGAGCTCATCAAATATAAAATAACTGTCTTGTGCACTACCTGGGCCGTTCATTGTTGAGTTTTGTTTTAATGGCGAACAATTGCGTTGCAAGAGAGATTGAAGCGGTGGTGACGAAGTGGAATGAAGCATTTTTACTCTGATCACTTGAATCAAATATTTGACTTCTCTGAATTATCCTTTTTTGATGACTGATTAAATAAATAACGCTGTGAAGTTTCGGATGATTTTTTTTGCTGACGTCCCGTGTCAAGGTGATTGGTGAAGTAGTAGTTCTTTTTTATGCTAAGTACCCGCAAAAAATGCTTTTTTTCTCGTTTGTTTGATGATGGACACAGAAGCGTTGTATAATTTACTTGGTGACGTTTATCAGTTAAATGAATGGCGTAAGTGGTGTTATGTCTTGTGGTGTTTTAGATGCTCAAACTCTTCGAGTTAACTTTCCTTATTAATTCACACGATACAAAAATGTAGAAAACAGCCTCAGTTTATTTTAATTTATTTTTTTATTGCATTGTTGTATCGATTTAATTTTTCATGTTTCTTCTTCTCGAAAGTTTTTATTTTATTTCACTTTTCTTTTATGTGTTACTAAATGTTTAGAGTTCTCGCGTTTTAATCATTTAAGCACTTGGTTACTCGCTCTTCGAGATTCTAATATTCAGATATTTATTATTCAAAAGTTTCACAATGTTCATGAAAGTTCATCACAATTTGATCAATCGCTTTATATGAGGGTTTGATGATTAGAAGCTAAATACAAAAATTGAATACATTAAATTTTGAAACAGTTTTGATGTCTGTTGTTAACGTTTTCATTTACATTGAAAACGTCACAACACCAACGAATTTAAATCATACTTTTATACATTAACTTATCACTAACAAAAATATTTTTCAGAATGAAATCGTCCACATCTCGACTTTCAAATAAAAAACTTAAAAAACAGTTACGAACATCATTGAAATTGAAATTATAAAAAAAAAAGAAATAATCACAAAAGTTTTTATCTCGATAGCTCTCATTTTTTTCATGTAGATATTCGTTTACAACATTCTATTTCCGCACCGAAAACAAAGAGGAAAAAAAGAGTTAACAACACAACTCTTATTTCGGTGTTTTTATATCGAAATGAAATGAAAAACTAAAAATTATTTCAACATTTTTCTGTTGTTTTCTATTTGGAAAACATTTTTTTTCTTCTCTCTCTCTCTCTCTCTCTCTTACTTCTGTCTTTCTCTGTCATTCTGATAAAATGTTCATATCTAAACGTTTCCATTTTCAGTGAACAGTGACGCTGTTACGAAACAGCTATTATCGTTAACAATCAAAGTTAACACACCTTCAACACTTCAAGCACAAATTGACCTTAACAAATTAATTAATTTCTCTAAAAAAAATTGATTGCTGATCGTTCGATCAAAAGAAAACTTTGCAACAAAAAGCTTTTTAATCAATTTTTCTTCTAAGCACACGTCACATTCTATCATTCTGTAAAGCCGACGTGTCAATTAAATATTTAATTACGGTGGTAAAATAAAATTAAAGCACAAATGTTTCCATCTTCCGCTTCACTTTTAATAATCAGGAACCTTTTTTAGGTTCAAAACCTTAACTATAAGTAATACAAGTAATGTAAGAAACCACATTTGTGTGAATAGTCTCTTTAAGGGAACAACTCTTTTCGGGTTTAGAGCTTAAGGCGTGTGAGTAATAAAAACATAGAACGAACTTAGGAAAACATATTTTCGCTGGGACTTGTCCATTTTCAATTATAATGACACAGGCTACGAGGCTTAATATACTTTCAGCATATTGTTATAGCATGTTTATGGGGATCGTTATAAAACCCAACGCATCTAGCGATTTCATGTTTAGTTTGACAAAATAAACGAAAGCTTTCGTTGCTTTATTTTACCCCACGTCACTGCTTCTTTTTCTATTTGGATATAAAAAGCGAAACAATAACAAATGCCGTAGAATTTCATTTCATTCCCATTGTAATATTTAAATAACTAAAGTGACATTCAAACATATGTTTATTTTGTTACTATTATATTTCTGATACTGACCAACTGTCTTTCATTTACTTTTGGACACGAACAAGAAAAACAAATGACGAGAAAAATGAAAACGATAAAAACATTTTTTTCTGATTCAATTCACGTTTACGTTCAACGATATTTAGGTACTTTTGTTGACTATCACTGTCGTCTCCGAAACTAAATTAGAAGCACTATTACTCAAATTAATTAAAACTCACTCTCCATTCTTATAGATTAGTTCGCATGGCTTTGACCTGAACACGAAGAGCTCTCAAGCTCAACCAAAATCCGCTTTTTAGCTCTGGCATTCGTCATAGAAGTATAAATAAATAAGAAGATAATTAAATTATTTTCCATGCATACAACGAGCTCTATAGATTGTGGAAGTTCCGTTCTTCCCTCTCTGACTCTTTTTTTTAATCAGGAAATGAGCTTTTTTTCTTGCGTTAAACTAAATATAATTAAATTTAAATTAAATTATCAATGCTATCAAAAAATATTAGCAAACTTTGATATGAAGGTACATGCAATGCAGTCAAAGTGCATTGAAACATGAGCTTGTCACGTCATCACAATATCATGAAATCCACTTAGAACTTCGAACAATATTGCAAGTATTGCACATAAATAATGAAGCCGTCCTATTTCTTCAGGCTTCCTTTGAATGGATTCGGTCTTGACTGTCTTATCGCATTTTACACGTACGCTTACCAAACGTTATTAATATTAAGGTTTTAACTTTTAAAGAGATTAGTGAATTAAGAAAATTTATATTGAATTTATAATGTACGATATCTTAGGAAGCAAAAGAGCTTATCGTTGTTTCCAAATCAAATAATTTTCAGTACATTAAGCAATAATAAATCAACGAAATGAACAGATCTAAAGCAAACTTGACAAATCATCAGACATGTCTACTTAATATGAAATAAACAAATGTAAATAATGCCCTAAAATACAATCAAAGTCATTAATTATTTAGTGAAAAAGATAAAAGATTGTTGTTCCATTGACTTTATCAAACAGTAATTCGTCAGTTTCTCTTTCAACTGCTGCATGTAAATATATTGATGGAAGCTTTTCTGTCTACGTTTCTCACAACTCAAAAAGCAAATATTGACATAAGAACACAGTCACACATGTCACTTAATGTTCTGTAACATGCTCGTTGTATATATGCATACTCATGTCCTATTTATGACAAAGCTTTTATGAAAGAAATTGGAAAGGAGTGAGAACGGAGCTTTTTCCCTACTCGTTGTTATTCTTGTGATTGCAACATTTGTCGTCATAACTTTTGTTTATTTTTCCATACGAGAGACACAAAAGAATGAGATTGTAATCAGTGACTTATGCAGAGAAAACTCAATTACGAGCACAAAGTTCTTTTTTTTCTCAATTTAACTTTCCATCTCCCAGGACAAGGGCAGCAAAGCATGGAAAACAAATTGTAAGCACGGCCACTAGAAAAACTTTTTTCTTCTTTTTCTTTGATTTTAAGAATAGGGAAAATATCAAGTTGCAGTCGTTTTAATTTTCTACATGAGACTATAATTGAAGATGTAATTTATAGTTACTTGGGTGCTTGAGTTCGCGCCTCCCTTAAAATCTTTTGTCAATTTTGTACTCAAACTTTCATACAAACTATGCCATACTGAGACGACTCATTTGGGAGCTTTTTCTTGCTTCTTTTGTACATTTTTTTATTAAAAATTATAAGATGTGTTGTTGCCAGATCAGCATCAGCAGATTTTTGTTAGTTTTCGTAGCTTTTTATTTTTTGCCAAAGTAGATGTAGATACAAGATGTGAAAATATAAAATGTGAGAATAATTGACGACGACATTGTCAAGGAATTTCAGTTTTAAAATTTTTTGTCATAAACATTTGTTATTGAATTAAAAGAATAAATGCAGGCATCGGTCAAATTCAATAAAATTCGAAACTCCCATCAATTAAGCTTTTCTTTTCTCATATCAAAATTGATATTCGTGTGCACGTATTGATTTGTCTAGAAATTTAGCACTACCCAGTGGTGCAGTATTGCTTCTGGTTTTAATGTCAGATTTGTATTGAATATCTTTCTTCTCGATTTAATGAGTAAAAACATAATTTAATAGCTTTGAACATCAATGTCCAATTAAAAAAGCTGCATTTCAAAGATATATCAAATAACTCATATCGTATTTGATTACGACGCCGCAGTCATGAACATTTTTTTATTATGCTCGCCTCTTTAGCAGGTCAATTAATTATGCGATTTCGGAGGATTTTTATTTGTTGTCTTCTTCTTTTTCTATATTTTTTTGTGTATAAATTTCAGTAGAAACTTCATACTCATCACTTCTACGAGTCTCTATTCAAATCCAAATAGCATGGTCAAAATCTATGTAATTTATTCAAATTATTATCCGATAGAAAGATGAACAAAAATCCATAAATTTCTGGTTTCTCTATAACTGTTTATCTTTTTCCCAACAAGCCAAATGGAAAAGTAACAGTTTTTGGACATTTTGTAGATGCTTTTTTACATATCTAATAAAATATAAAATAAAACACATCGCAGTAGATTCAAATCCATATCTTTTCATCGACATCTTTCCTCGAATCTCGTAAAATTTCAGAAATTGAAATATGAATGTCAGGGATTTACATATTTACATAAAAAATGTATGTGAACAATTTAAAATCTAAAGAAAATTTGCATTAAATAAAATATAATTAATTTCAACCATTTAAACCCCTGACAAAGATGGAAAAAGAAAAGCTAATGTTTTTAAAAGGAATCAAATCAGTTCAGATAAGAAGCGTCATCAATTTAAGTATGGCGCAAGAAGTCGAATCGCGGGCGCGCGTGTGGACTTTTTTTTGGACGCTTGTGTTGTATGTGAAAACATAAATTTGAATTTTAATTGGACAAGTTTGTCGATGATGTCATGTCGATGGATTTCATGTATTCATTTATGATTATTGGTTTTCATTCTAAAATTAATGCTTTGACCTTGTTCTTAAGTGTCCACGAAAACAGATGATCATAAAAATTCATGACCAGTTTTATTGACTTAAACATCACCAGCCTAAAACTCGCAAACTCGCCCCTCGAAAACTGAAAATGGTGATTGTGGTTGGAATAACCATGATGATTATATTTCGGCAGTTCAGCACCAAAATTTTTTATACAACTTCTCTTTCCTACTAACGCGATGACTTCTTGGCATGAATGGCAAAGCTTTCCCTTTAAAAAGCTTTGCTTTGAACTTGATTAAGAACTCCGACTTTATTATTCTCTCATTCTCCCTTCAAAATCTGTTTTTTTGCACGCAAATGACACAACGAAAATGAAAAAAAAACTATTTTACTTGATGGAAACTAATTCGAGAAAACTTTACTGAAATCTGGCCTTGACGTAGACTGAATTGTTGTGAGAATGTATTGCGGTTCGTGCTGGAAAATTTTGGTATGAAAGGACAAAGTCATTTTGTGCGTGTTTGATAAAGTGACCCTACCGACCATTTTCCCGTTCAATTTGTTCATCATAGAGGGAGAGAGAGAGAAAAAAGAAACAGCGGACCCTGACGTGAAGGATGAATTTAATAAAAATCATGCAATACTTGCTCACATATTCACAACCGTCTCGAGAACGTTCTCTACAGCCTCTTATTTAATCGTTTTAAAAAGCTTCTGAATAGTGAGTTGCTGGTGCGTAAAAACTCCATTTGCTTATGATTGAAATATTTTTAAAGGAAAACTTGGGTTTCGAGAAATGTACGTGGTGGACTCATTCTGAATATAATTGAGGAAATCCGAAAAGAAAAACATTTAGCTAAAGGAAAGCCTTCGTTATTAAATAAAATTTCTGTAATCCTAGTTCATAAATAAAATTGTTGGAATGTGTCCTCAACCTTTGCCGATAAATTCACCTGAACTGACTCTAAGTTATTTTATGTTTTTTGTTCCATTTATAGTGAACATGTTTTCATTTTGTGCTTCCATAAATCTTTAATTTTCCATAGGCTCGACTTTTCCAAATCGTTTCATTTCATTTAGAAGTGGCACAACTTCAATTGATAATAAGAACAGAAGCAGCAGAATATTTTTGCTTTTAAAATCTAAAGCAAAGCACGTGTGGAACAATGCACATACCTAAATTATTTCGATTCAATTTCATTGATTAAGTATAATACTGTGCACTCGTAAATTTATTGATTTTTCTAACACTGCGAATAAAATGGCGAAGGAAAGGACAATCATGAAACGTTTTCAGAGCATGGAGATTGAAAATTGTTGTAGACATTTTTAATTGACTTTGATTCTCGTTCGTTCCTTGGTTGGAGAACGTTTAGATTTATCATATTTATACTATCTACTCTACATTCATTTTCGTGACTGTTATGAAACTTTTTTTTCCCTTTAACCTCGAAAGCTTTCATAAACTTTCAATTCAACGATAACTTTAAAGTTTAACAATTGTGAAGCAGGCAAAATTTTTCTTTCATGTTTTCTTTTATGTTACCACCAACAAAACCATTTCTTAATTAATGAGCATTTGAAATTCATTATGTACTTTAAAACTATACACTTCTTTCCTCTAATTTTCAAACTCAAACTTTCAGGTATATTACAAACTTTTCTTACATCAATAATTAAACTTTTCATTAAAATTAATGCTGGTAAATGTTTAGCTGAATAAAATATGATTTTAAATAATTGTGCATCACTTGAATTCTTGTTCAACATGAACTTTGTATTCATACACTTATTTACTCGGGAAATATTTTTTTATATTTTGTAATGTAGCCGATGCGATGAAATGTAACAGAGGCGGATTGTGACTGACTGAATGGAAGCTTACTCGTACTTTGTTTTTGCCTATTTGAGTGCCATTCAGAAATATGTTTTTTTATTCAATTTGTGTATACAAGTGGTAAGCATGTGTGGATAGTTTGTTGGATGACGATGTGTTAGATTTTGTCACACCAAGCAGCGCTGGAATAAAGACAAATTATCAGCCCGCATGAATTAGGCTTGATGGGTCTGCTTTTTTTCTTCATATGTTTTACACAACGATGGTGATAAATATGTTAATATTATTAGCTCTGTTCTCTCGAGTTTCTCTCTTGCGCTTAAATATTTTATTTTGTTTTCGTCAATTTGAATTCTCACAGATTTTTTTAACTTCTTCTTTCTTTATTTACATTAATAAAACATATTATCAAGCCCTCACATACACACACAAATACTGATACATGCGATGAAAAAAAAATTGAGATTCGTTGTTTTCATTTGATATTTATTATTTGTGTGACCACTCAAATATTTTTTTACATTCTTCGTGATTATTTAAATTTTAATTTTCTGAGATTTTGAATTCTTAATGGAAGGGGAAGAGTCACCACAAATGGGTCAGAACATAAACGGAGACGACAGAAATGAAGGAAATTCTAGTTTCAATTATTATACCAACGTCATGACGTGTTGATAAGATAAAAATAAATATTTTTCGAAGTTGTAATTGTTGAAACTTATGACGTATTGTTGACTTCTGAGTAAACATCAAATAGTCAAAAATTCATTCCCTTCAAGTGGCTTCACTATCAAGATCACAATCTTAACAACACACAAAATTATTTTTCTTTCTCAATTTTAGGAGAATTTGTAGTTGTGTGCGCCCGAGTAGTTTGCTAAAGTTACACAAACTTTGATAGAAGAATAAATGATAAAACGTGACATTCCGAAGAAAAGGGTAAACTTGCTGAGACGACAACTTTTCGTGTGTATTTAGTTGGTTATATGAAGATGCTGAAGCTCGGATTTCCAATAACCAAAATGTAATAAAAATTCAGAGAAACCGTTCTCAATCCCACCTAAGACTCGCTTTCCATGTATTTACGAATCAATTTACACAAAGAAACGAAGAAATCGAAATCGAATTTTGTAAGACCTGATTGTGGAGAATAGAAAAAATAAAATATTCAAAATAGTTTTTTTTTACTAATCGAACTTAAATTGGGAATGAACAGCTACATATTGATCATCTTATTAACTGTATAAGCACTCATCATGGCTCGAATTTGATACACATTTCATTACACGAATCATCATCATCATCATCATCACATCTCATCTCGTCACGATCGTAAGTCAAACGAAAGAAACACTTGTTCATTTAAGAAAGACGTCAATTGTTTTCAATTGAGGGAGAAGAAAAAAAACAGTCTCAAAGTGACAGAAGCAAACAAATGAGTGAGTGATTGTGAAAGTCTTCACTTGAAAGTGATCATCATGTTCGTTAACTGTAAGCTGTAATGACTCTTGAAAGAAAAAAAGATATAATTAAATAATTTTACGTTAATGTCCAAGGCCAAGTTCTCCTTCAGTATTTACTTCTACATCACCCCCTCATTCCCGTAATTCTTACATCACTTATCCACGGTGACAAGGTTATTGGTATCAATGAAAACAAAAACTGATTAATTACCTACATAAATGATTTAAATAGAATTTTAGCTCAAAGCTTATTTCTAATGAATTTTAATAAAGTTGACAAGTTTATCAACTGAAAAGCTGTTGATATTCACAAAGTATTTCTTTTTCATTCAGACATCTTTATACTGCGTAATAAAACATCGACTTAGGTCTTATCAAATGACAATTAATTGGGAATGGCAAACTGAACAGCTCACTGTTTCGTGGTTGTATCAACTAAGCAGCAGTCGAGGGAAAATATAAATTTCTTATCATTCACTTTACTCTTCTTATTGGCCTTCTACTTCATTTAGATTCAAGTGTTTCTAGTTTATTGAAGAGGATAGCATGAAACGTTATTTCGTTCGTTTTTCTATTATAAATATCCAAGTAAATTTATTTTGGGGGTGTGAGAGAAAATTTTTGATAAGGAATTCGGGCGAGAATAAATTTTATTTTTATAATTTTAATACTTGAGATGTTATTTAACAAAAAATTTACTCCGCTATAAAATAATTAACAATAAAGAATTTAATTACAAACTTTTATTTTCTTATTACGATGTTTAAAAGCAGAAATATGACTTCGGGGAATGAAAAGGAATCCAAAAGGAAAAGATGTCGACTTGGCGAATTGAAATTGTCTGAATTTTTATTGGTGTGATTTGATTAATTAATTAAATGGTAATTAAGAAGATTTGCTGTGCCATAACATGATGTGACGACATTGTGTTTCCTCCAATTTAATGCTTTTGATAATTATTAAAAAAAAAGGTTGAGTTTGAAGAGTTTCATTTCGTTTCCTTGTAATTAAGTTACTGAATCGAGAAGAGAGGAAAATAAATGTTTTAAGAACTTTCCCAAAAATGTTGCCTTTTCTTGTGTAAATTGAATCGCCAAGTAGAAAAGCAAGTTTGTGAAGAGTTTTTGCCTACGAACGACAAATAATAAAAAAGTTTCCTATTGACCTATTTCTATAAGCGTTTTCTCTTTTTTTGTGTGCCTCTACGCGAGTTATACGACGCTTGGTCGTCTTGCTTTTGTTGTTCATTACAAAGACATTTTGTGCTTGAAGAAGAATTATGCTAAACATCAGTTGATGAGACATGAGAATGACAATAAAAATTCTTATAATTTATTAACATTTTTCATTACAACATTAACAACACTTGCTTCTTAGGCTTTCTAGATCAAGAAGTTAGAGAGGAGTTAACTTTCATTCTTATTTTAATGATTATGTATTACGGTCATGAAACGGCGGAAGGTTTATGTTATTCATAATCAAAGATCATTATGAGTGTAAAGATAGCATCTTCAATTTCCTTAAAAAATTAATTTCTTTACCGTTTCATGATCGAATATCTTAGATCCTAAATTTAAGTACAAAGTTGCGGGCTTGATTATGCCAAGCTTTAGTCTGATTAGCATTGAAAGGCTTATTTTCACTCTTTTTGATAATTCTGTTGTTTGATTTTGCCCTTATCACGTTCAAGGGTCTTTCCTTTCACACTTTTTGTTGCTTTTCCTTCTCACAAACCTCTTTATATTATTTTATCTTTTTTTTCTTCTCTCCATTATTTCTGGTGAAAGAGACCCTAATCACAAACCTTTCTGTGGAACATAAAATGAGTTTTTCTTACTTTAAGATTCGTTTTAAAATTTAAAACAAAAGAATAAAGAAACGTGTCACATTGCTTAAGTCATTTTCATATTATAATACTTTTTATTTTTTTAATTAATTGTTCTCTATTGTTGTACAAAGAAGCGTAAGGAACGCTAAAAATATGTTTCTTGAATAGCTTTTTACAATTTAGATGACTTTCTTTCGAGTCATTCACACTTATTATCTAAAAAATCATCTTCTAACAAACTTTTTATTTATCTTTCTTCTCGTAAGTATATCCGGTTACAATGCACGCGCGTGCGATGGACATGTAACAACACCACATCAGGATCATATCATTCAATTTTTGTGTTTTTTTTTTCCTTTCTTTCTTTTCGTTTTTTCAACATCAACAAGAGATTTTTTTTCTTTTGTTTTCTGGTTTTTTTTTGTTTGTTTGTGTTTCTGACTCACCCGAAAAGTGTGATCTTTTGGTACTGCCATTGTCACTGTCACCGTCAAGGGGACGTTTTCGTGAATCATTTGGTATTTCAGGACTAGGACATGTTGTATCCATTCCGGCATCGGCGGCCATCATTTGTATGCCAAAACGCATTCAATTCTCCTTGGAAGCCTTGTTTTAAGATCTTTTATGAATTATTTTTCTTTCTTGTTATATTATTGACTTTATTCTTGTCTTTTTTTCTATTATTTTAAACACTTTAATGACTCTTCAATTTCCCGTAACTCTTTGTGGAGGTCAAAGATTCTAATTATATGCAGATTTTTTGTTTTGAAGTTAATTCAGTTAACAACTTTTTTTTTCTTTTAATTTATGGTAAACAGTAAACAAAAAATAAAACGAAATAATTAAAGCTCTTCCTTCTTTCTCTCTAATATTTTCTTCTTTATGGTTTCCTTTAAACCAAACTTTAATCAACTTCTCTTAGGATAACCCTCAGTACGGTTCAATTTCTTTAATCAAGAATGGAAAGAATAGAAAAAAGAAATTAAATATCATTTCATTAGTTGAACTCAACGAAAGCATAACAGATTGAAATAATGTTCTATAAAATATTTTGTTTCTGTTTTATTACTTTCTCTTTCTGTCATTATTTGCACTCTTTTTCAGGTGATATTTTTGTGATTTTTAAGTTGGGGATTTTTCATTTGTTTTGATTTTAACAACGAGAAATCATGAATCTAAATATAAAAAGTTTCATCATAATCCCCAACTTTAAACCTTCTTTCAAAAATTCATTAATTACGCAATTTAAATCATTCATATTTTGTTGCAGAAAATATTTGTGCTTAGTTAAACTATAATCAAGTCGACTTGACAACTTATATGTATTATCACAAAACAACTACCGTTAACTGGCAAAACGGGGCCTCTTAACTTCTACTTTCTGATAAGAAACGTATACGAACAAAAGAGAACCTATTATCAGTATATATGTATATATCAATATATATACTTATATATTGTGAAACTAAAAACAACTCGTTTCTTTTTATTCCAGATAATGAAAATGTTGCTTCTTTTTTTCTTTACTTTCTGCGATAAACTTTGCTAGCCTTTTTATTATTTCTCTTTTCCGATTTTCGGTTCCTTTTTATGTATGTTTAACAAGAGAAAACTGAACAAAAAAAGAAGGATAATGTTTCTTATTTTGTGGATGGTGATAAGGTGGTGCGATTTCAAGCCAGGCGAGACACTGAATTGAAACTGAGCTCAACCAAAAAATAATATGAATAAAAAGCTCTGAGAATCACGATCATTTTTCTCACTGACGAGAGTTTATTTAGAAGCACACAAGGCTGAAATGGAAAAGTGTCAAGCGCATGATTGCGCAGACGCGAAAACTTTTTTCTCGTGCGATACACAAATATGTGGAAGGTTGGAAGAGAATAAGAAAAATATTATGGATTGACTTGAGGAATTTTCCTTTGAAAGATCAAGTTTTTAAAAAAGCTTTCTTTTGATTCACTACGCAAATTCTTTCTCGCGCTCAGCTGATGATGTGAAAATTTATAAGCGCGCGTCTATGGACACCAATTTTACTGTGTGACCACACTGATTTTCTTTCTTGCTCTCGTGCAACTCACAACGACACACAGTTTTTCTTTTATTCTTTATTTTCTCGTCAAATTATAGCACAAAAGTTTATTCTTTCATTTAATTTTCAGTGCGATAAAAACACTCGCGAAATATTTTTTCCGAGGAATTTTGCAGTAAAAAATACTTTTTAATGTTGATTACGTTTAGCCCAGCTCTTTCCATTCGTTGATAATAACACAAAATACGACTATTTTCAAGCCACAAGAACTTTTTCTTGATTACGAAAACATAAATTAATTTTTTTTCTTCTTTTTCAAATATTCATCGAATATGTGTAGGAAAAAAAGATATTCTTTAAAAAGTATCTAATGCAGAAAATTAATATTTTATTTTGTTACTCTACTGACTTCTTTTTCATGTGATTCACTGAATACGAGAGAACTACTGAACTGACGACGGAGAGAACCGACGACCTGGCAGCAGCGAAAAAGTTTTTCAAATCGCTCTGCAAAGTGTTAGTGAACGCACACATTGAAAAAGCGGCTGTTTGGTTATGCAATAAAATTTGACGGTGGTTGCATTAGGTTTGCAGGCTTAGACGGTTCATTCATAACGCAATGAAACATTTAAGTTGAAGTGGATTATATGCATTAATTGATTAAAAGCATTAAACATTTAAAAAGCTTGTAATAATTACATTTCTTAAGAATTATAGGATTCATCATAGTTCTCATTTTTCATCATGTTATTTTAAATGTCAAAATGTTTAGCGAGAAAATGTTAATTGTTTCTCTTATCACTGACACTGGACAAACTCAAAATTGAAATATTTTCTTACACAACAATCTTCACAATCCAACACAAGCTTAACCACAAAAGTTTCTCTCTTTCTCTCTCAAGAGAGAGCTTTTCCTCATTTCCCCCTCTACTTTTGGATATTTTCGAGAGCGAATTTTTGAAATGTTTGCATTATCAATACTCTTGACTAATTTAACAAATGCTTTTTGTTGGTAATCATTTGAACATTGTTCTTATGTTTGATTATGTAGCTTAACCTTTGAATTCGATATGTGATAATGTTTTAATGCTCCTCAATCATTCACTCATTTAAAACTATTGTGTAATCATCGATTAAAATGAAAATATTTTTCTTATGAAGTTTAGGAATATTTCCCCTGTTAAATTGCGCAATATTTAATGTGTTAGTGAAACGTAGTTTCGCGAGTATAAATTGCACTTCCCAATGTCAAATGAAAATTACGAACTTCCACTTAAGAAAACTTCCAGATGGAAATAATATGCTGTGAAAACTCCGTTAAAGGAAATAAGAACACAACTGACTGAGAAATTTAATTTGTTTCATTACAAAAGCACCGACATGTCGGTGAGATTCTTTTATTATGCTTCTCCACAAATTCAATTGGGTATTTCAACCGGTACAATGTGTAAACGAATCTATTCAGTAATGAAAAAATAGTTCGTGGAGAGAATAATGAAATGAAAAGTTAAATTGTACACGACAATAACGAAAACAAAATTCATTTACGTTGCATTGTTTCAGAACTCTTTTGATAAATTTAGAATGAATAATTATTAAAAATGAGGTGAATTTAAAAATAAACTTGCTAAAATCATGTGACGAGGAATGTTGTTCAGTTTTGCAAATAAAAATAGAATTAAATAACTGTGTGCTACCTGCTGAATTGAAACTTATTATTTATTTCGATTGCACAAATTCCAATTGCCAATGTCAATCTACACTCTACATGTCTGTTCTAGACGGTTTCTATGATGTCATTAATAAAGACGCATATTACACGAAAATAAAGTAAGGAATTAATCACATCACAACTGAGCGCAACGTAAAATGAAAACAACATTGAAACTAAATGCTTGCTCGTGATGCTTCTAAAATGCTATTAATAAATAATCCCATAACAAATTGCAATCAACAACAGACAACAGGTTTTTTACGTTTTTTTTTTTGGCTTCGTAAAATTTTATAAAAAATATCTTTAGGAAATATTATTTTTGACTATTTGTTAGCTTTGGTCTCATGTATAGTATAGGAAGGTGACCACTAAGAAATTGATTGCAAGCGTCACTTATACTTTTTTCAGTTTTTTCTTTTAAGTTTACATGTAAATGCATTAGGATTAATTTTTTTGAGCACTGAATACTATTTAAGAATAAATTTACAAGAATTCATATACGCCTACACATACATTCACGATACATGTAAATCAATGAGCCACATATATTACTCGCGTTAATTTTTTCTAACTGATAAGGAGAAGTGGCACGAATAAATGTTAATCAGCTAACTTCAATATATGAAGTTAGTAAAATGAAAAAAAAACTTCATAAGAATCAAAAATATCATTGAAACAGTCTAATTATGAGAGAAAACATTTTAAAATATACCTACCTATCTATTTCGATTGTATTTTGATTAATTCTCACACTTTGCTCTGACCATTATCATGTTTATAAATATTTAATGTATTTTTTCAAAAATATTGCATTGTTTTCAAATTCATCGCATGTAGAATCGCATGGAATTTAAATTCATCGGATACGTTATTTTACAACATTCTTATAGAAATTTAATTGCAGTTCTATTAAAGCAATCAAGAAGATCAACAATGGAAAAATAAATTCAGTTTGAATCCAAAAATTATTTCTATGAAAAATTTGAAAGATTCAAGTTTATTATCAAATTCCTTTATAAATCTTAAAATTTTTTTGTATGATGATGTGATGAAAACGTTGAAGTAATCAAGAATGGAATGGAAATCGATTAGATTATTAAGCAAGATTGCAAAATTCTGTCAACTGCAAACTATGATTCAATGCTAGCACTGATTTCTAAATATATTGCATATTTTCTAAAGCAAGCATATAACCAGAAGATCATTAACGCCACAAACATTATATAACTCTTTGTCTTCATCTCAATCTTCAATATGTTCTCATCGATTTGATATGGCGAAAAGCCAACAATGTTCATAAAGAAGAAATTTTTTTTTGTCGAATTAACAAAAATTTTTCCGTTCTATGCATTGTGGTCCAAATACTAAAACGACTTTACTTAAATTAATTGAGAAACAGGAAAAATTAAATTCAATGTGTGTAGTCAATTAAACAAGTAAAATGAGTGGTTAGATAATTTACATTTAAAAATATGTTCAAAAATGACGTTCTAAGTGTTTTTTATCAATTAGGTAGTTTTTATTCCTCATGATTTGTAACATTAAAAATTATCAAGAACATTCAAATTCACCTTCATCATGAAGTTAATTCAGCTATTTTCCAAATTTGCTCTTTTACAGCTATCAAGCTAAATTAATTTGTAGGATTGAATAATCAGAATTAAGATTAGAATTAAAACATTTTTATTTTTTATTACAATTTTTGTTTAATCAATATCTTACTTCAAATAGTTAATCAGAACTTTTAATCGAGAGTTAAGACTGTAAGCAGTCCCAATGAATTGTAGATGAAAAAATCAATCACACTCCTGAAACAGAAACGTAGTAAAACAAATACAAACTTTTCTCAGACTGATCTAAAGCTTCATCATATATTTACATCGTAGATGAAACATGCTATTAGATATTACATTTGCTATATTCGGATATACATATAAGCACTAACAACATTCAATAATCCTTTTTGTCATGAGATTGAAATCGCAAATTCAATGAGAAAAACTTTTCATCAAACTCTTCGAATAATTTTAAAATATTTTCAACATTAATTCGATTCCAAACATCCAAACATACATACCAACCAGGATTGGTATAATCATTGCTTGGAAAAGATAACATAATTGCCAAATGCGATCTGAAAAGCAGAGTCCGATCTGCTTTATATTCAAGATTCACGAAATAAGCTTCAATTCCTATGGCAAACATGTACAGCCAGTAACATATTGAAAATTTTAAAATAAAATTAATTCTTTAGTTTCATTTCAATCTTCAATGTGTTCTCATCAATTCGATATGGCGTTATACCAAATATCTTCATAAATGAATGGGAAACTCTCGTCAAATGCAAAATATTTCTTTTAT